TTCATTTGGTTTGAAGATTTCAGCAAGATAACTAGCAAACAATTCGGCTTTTTCTCTGCTATCTTTCACCCAAGTACCATCCTCTTTTTTTAATGGAGGAATTTGGCCGTGAAAGATGAAATTTAAATCTAGTTCAAAAACCTCACTGAACACTTTTTTTTTGCTTTTGCGATTTGGATTTGAAATTAGCATTAGAAAGCGTATGAAGATAATTGGGCCAAGAATCGTTCAGCGTCGTTCCGGCTCAGGAAGTGAGGTCAAAATTGGTTTTTCAAGGTCTGATCATGTAACTGGATCTATGTATATTTTATCCGCTACCTGTTGAAAGAGTGAAAGGGGTCAGGCTCACTTTCAGAATCATTTCACGTCTTGATTTAATACCTCATCAACTCTTTTTTTCTATTTACAGGATGATCCTTCCTTTCATCCTTCATTTCAATCGCGGAAGTACTGGACACACAAGGAAATCGACAAAATTTAAAAATTTCCGTTTCCTTCTTGACTGTGAAATGTCAACCAAAATATCTCATTCAGAAAACACGGCAACCAGATTTTCAACCTTTTTCTTTATTCGTAATAAAATTTTCACATTAATTTACCTTAATGTTTTGGAATCGTTTATTATTATGCCAAAAAATAATATCAGTCTCAAATCGACCAAAAGGTTGGTCAGCGTGCCTATTTCTGACCTAAACAAATTTATCTCAAATTCAAATCTAAAAAAAGATTCGGTAAACAATTATTTTTACATTGGTTTATTGTTGGGATGCATATTTTAAATTATTCAGCCTTGTTATTTACGGTTAAAATGGTTCATGTTTTCTCTTATTTAGAACAACAATTAAAATTTGTTTACGTAAAATGATAACAAATTACCCATTACAGTTCGTGGTCCGATTGACCAATTAACTTTTTTCAATTAATTAATCTTTATGAAAGAAATTAATCTTTATGGTTGTGATAAAAAAGTCAGTGTCACGAGCGGGATTCGAACCCACGACCTTCGGCTAAATACGCCGCTGTTCTACCCACTTGAGCTATCGTGACACTGGGTCGTGGGTTCGAATCCCGCTCGTGACACTGACTTTTTTCATCTCAACCAATACCTTTCATAAAGATTAATTAATTGAGATAACAATTAACATTGTTTTCTTTCTGGTCAGAGATTAAGTAGGATATATTTAAATTTAATTTAAACCTCGTACGAAATTGTATTATATAACAAGCATACGTCCTGAATTTAATTTTTAATGGAAATACAAGGTGGATAATACATAGTTGCATTTTTACATTTGAAATTACAATGAGTTGATCTTCTGCATGCATATCAGGCTGTCGTGTGCAAAAAAAAAATTAACTCTCATGCCAATTATTTTTTTTTTTTTTAATATAAAAGTATTTTTTGTGAGGAATTTTCACGCTTCAAGGCAATATTATGAAACTCGTTATAGAAAATGGCAAAAAGGAAAAAAAATTATGGGAACTCAGAAACATATAAATAGGAAAAGTTACAAATTATATAACCTTCGTTAGTGACCAGGGTCGACGACAAAATATAGCTTAACATCTGTCCAGGAAGCCTTCTTAAAATTACTGGAGCAATATTCAAGGACAGAAAAGGCATATCCGAGAAAGTCCTCGTAATCAAAAATAGAGAGTATTTGAGAATTTTGGGATACAGGTCGTCACAAATGTTAATAATTAATGCTTCGACCCACTAGTCATTAGCATATAAAATTTTGTTTCCAATGCATAGAAAAAATACCCAGAGAGAGTATAGACAAATAAAAGACAGGTACAAAAAACTGATAGAATCAGAGTAAAAAACACTTCGCACAAAACTATCACGAACACTCGACAACGCTCACAAACTTTAAAATAACTTCAGGACCTACATGATATGGATGTACATGGATAAAAATAGTGACAGAGAGGAAAAAATGAAATACAGGAACAAAAAACACATAACGTCGATTAAGTACAATGGCGGACACTCAAACAAATATCACGTCATACAAAATCATCATGAACACTCGACAACACGCACAAATAACTCCACGGAAAGCCAGAAAATTGGATGTACATGGATAAAAGTAGAGACAGGCAGGAAAAAAATTAAAAGGCATGTACATCGAACATATGAAGTGATTTGGAGAACTTAACACAAAATCACGACAAACATATGAACAAATTTAAAGTTACTACATAATATACGAAAACGAAAGAAAAAATACAATCACGCTGGAAGAAAAATAAAAGACACTAGAAATAAGAAATAACATATTTAGTTACAACGGTAGACAATCAGGCTAACCCACATTTAAAATTAGTACAAAAAATGGTGAAAAAATGAATATGCTCGACAAAACATAGAAATACAGGAAGAAAAATAAATATATGTTACAAAGAACATACAAACTATCATCATTTCACACAAATCTCCACGAACACTCGACAATACACACAAACTTTTAAATAACTGCATGTCAGACAAAAACGACGCATTTTGACGTGCAAAGAAAAAATTCGGACAGACTGGAAAAAATGAAAGACGCTAGAAAGAAGAGATAACCCATTTAGGAACAATGGCAGGCAATCAAGCTAACGTCACTTCACACGATACTACCACGAACACTCGATAATACATCCTCATTTAAAATCAGTACAAAAAAATGGTGAGAAAATTAATATACTCGAAAAAACATATAGACATATACACCCTCATTTAAAATCAGTACAAAAAAATGGTGAGAAAATTAATATACTCGAAAAAACATATAGACATATACACCCTCATTTAAAATCAGTACAAAAAAATGGTGAGAAAATTAATATACTCGAAAAAACATATAGGCATACAAGAAAAAAATAAAAGGTACAAAGAGCATATAAAACCATGTAGGGAAAATGGTGTATTGTCAGGTAGTAGTAATTACATGACGTACAAAAAGGACGCAAAATTAACGTGCAAAGAAAAAATTCAAACAGACTCGAAGAAAAATGAAAGGTGGAAAGAATAGATAAAATCATTGAGATTTAATTATGAACAATCAAATTAACGATTATTTGGAGGTCGTGAGATGCGGTCTGGTGTGACGTAGGTTTTTAGAAAAACATTTTCTTTATCGTGCTAACGTTTCGATCTTTATTGGGATCATCTTCAGGGGTCTCAAAGTGTTTGTTTTCTGAGTAATTTTGTCATTTGCGCGTGCTGAGGGCACTCTCAACTCGACACTCAAGAATAGCACAATTACGCATAAAACTTGAGCCCTGAAGATGATCTCAATAAAGATCGAAACGTTGACACGATAAAGAAAATATTCTTCTAAAACCTGCGTCACACCAGACCGCATCTCACGGCCTCCAAATAATCATCAAGTAACGGTCACTAAACACCACACAAAAAAAATTAACATCAGATCAAACAAAACCACCACAGACACGCGTCAGTACATACAATCTTTAAAATAACTTTATCACCTACGACAAGGATGAAATATGGATATCCATCTGAAAAAATACTGGCAAACTAGAGAATAAATAAAAGACAGGCGAAAAAAAGTAATTTGGTAGACAATCAAACTAACATCACTCAAAACAATCACGAAACACTCGACAATACAACCAAACTTTAAAACTTCAAGACGTACGAAAAGGATGAAAAATAGATTTACATCGGGACAAATCAAACAGACTAGGAGAGAAATAAAACACAGGTACAAATAATATATAAAGTCATGATGAAATTACGCATCTGACAGACCAGAACGGTGAAGATTTGCGGACTGAAAGATTTAACCTCCGAATTTTTTTTATTTGTTTCATAATCATTGACATTTAATAAGCACGTCCGGTAAAAAAACGCATGATTTATCTTAACGGAAGTGGGCTATTTTATTTCGCATTTATTTACATGTTTGGCAAGAAAGAACGGAAATTATACTTCTCTGGATACCGCCTCTTTACAATCCTAGTTGAGCAATCAAAATAATATCTTAATACTGAAGTGGTTTTATACAAGACTTGTGCTGTAGAAATCCTTGCTTTTTATTTAATTGTCTATTTTATTTCCAACAATTTCCCAGCGTAGGCAATCACGTTAATGGTGGCAGAGGGAAAATAGCCGGAAAATTACCGCGGAAAGGAGATTTTTTTAATGAAAAGACGTAAAATGGATAATGGGCAAATTTAGTCGGTTGAAAACGCAAACATTGGATTTTTCAGAAATCCCTCATTTCGAATCCTTGAATTCCTCACTATTCTGGTCCCTCGGGACAGTTTCGGCTTTTCGCCATCTTCAATGGTGGGATTATGGAAATAATTTATTTTAAAGCCTTAATTTTTTACGAACACATAACTAACGACTAACAAATGTAACATAAAATTTGTTCATTTTTATATATCGTCACGTTACACAATGTTAATCGTTTATTGCTAAGTAGTTCCAATTATTTAGTTTTGCCAGTCCAAGCTGTTTTGATATTATGTTGCCTATTTTCAGTAGTGGTTTTGTGTTATATTAATAGAGAAAATCTGACAAATCAAAAACCGAGAATAGGCCAAAAATTTGTAAGCGACCAAGCTACAGGTTCACCCGCGAAAACGTCAAAAAGAATCTCTCTTAAACATTTTCTATTATTAAATATTTACCAGTAATTAATCTTTTTATGTAAGGTTTTGGTTGAGATGAAAAAGTTAGTGTCAAGAGCGGGATTCGAACCCACGACCTTCGGCTCAATACGCCGCTGCTCACTTGAGCATGACCTCGATCCAGTCGGACATCAATTCCCCAACTCAACCTTTCGAATTTTCCCTCTTTTATGCCATTTTTCAATCGAATCCCGCTCGTGTAACTTTTTCATTTCAACCAAAACCTTATAAAAAAGATTAATTAATTGAAAGAAGTAATTTGGTCAACAGATCACTAAATATAATGGATTTACGAGTAAATTAAACATAGGGCAATGATTACATTGAATTTGATTTATGATTTTTTGCAGATATAGTTTGTTGGGGCCTAGTGGCTGCGGGAAGACGACCCTCCTCAGTTGCATTGTATCGAGGACACATCTTGACTGCGGATTTATCAAACTTGGTGTCACGAAAAAGTCGGAGATCGGTTATATGCCACAGGTTAGATTTTGATGTGGCGTGTTCTACCGCCAAAGAACCAAGTTTTATAAAACACTTTACTTTCTGTAGGACATCGCCTTGTTTCAAGAATGTACAATAAAAGAGATATTCAACTTCTACGGCACTTTGTACGGTATGAAACCCCACGAGGTAAAAATGAGGATGAAAGAGCTCTGCGGCATGCTCGACCTCCCGCCGTACAACAGATTTATTCACTCTCTGAGGTAATTTGTTCAAATCTAATTATACATTATCCATTTTTAGCCTGTTGTTCAAAGCGTTAATTGGGTTTGGAGAGCGGTGGTTTTGAGGTCATACCCCGGAGCGCAACCTCTCTCATACGGTTTGACTGACAATGCGATTTCCGCTAATCGTATCGGATTGAAAATGTTTCATGATACGAGTTTCGAAAACAATCTAGGTTAACTTTCAAACTTATAAACTTTGAGATATTTTTTAATGATAGTTTTGCAACATCTCATATTTGTGCAACACAGTGGGCAACATATATTCCCGAAAGTTGTTTAGTTTAGGGCCACCTTTATACGTTGAATGTCATATTATTGTGGTTATATCCGATCCTCTTCTGTTTAAATCACAGCAGATTTTCTGCTGAACCATATTTATCAAATGAATTAACGAAATTACAGTAAATCGAATAGTATGATATGAACAAATGTGGTCATTCCCAAACAATCATTTATTGATAACTTTATTCATTGCTTAATATCCTAGTGTGGCTTTATTCTTTTATGTTGTTTTTCCGTTTTGTTACAGCGGCGGACAACAAAGAAGGGTTTCTTTCGCAGTAGCTCTCTTATACAACCCACCGTTGCTAATCCTTGACGAGCCGACTGTCGGAATGGACCCAGTCCTGTGTAAGACGTACGTTCCGCCTTTTTCATGGGCTAGAATGTTCCTATGATCTGTTCTGATTGTTCTTTTACGCCAGGATATGGGAGTACCTCCTCGCCCTGACGTCGGAACACGGCAGGACGATTATCATAACGACCCACTACATTGAAGAGGCGAAGCCTTCAAACACGGTGAGTGTCGAAACAAAAAAGAAAAAGGAAAAAGAATTGACCAATAACCTATTGTAGATCGGGCTGCTGAGGAAAGGGGTTCTGCTCACGGAAGAGTCTCCGAAAAGGCTGATGGAAAAACAAAATTGTGATAATCTCGAAGAAGCGTTTTTAGCGTTAAGCACGAAACAGCATGAACTGATCAAGGCTGAAAAACAATTTGGGGTAAGTATGTTTTTGTTGTTCGAGGCGTTAAAATACATTATAAGCTTTTACCAATTACTCAACACATACCACACGCTCGAGTGGGCAAGTTTTTGAAAATTTACTCTACAACATACGTTACAACACAAAAAAAGGGAAAACATTGATACTCTGAACTATAAAAACAATGCACGATACCCTCGAAAGTCGAAACGAAAGTATCAACACCCTGAAGCATNCCGAAATGTCGAAACAAAAGTATCAACACCCAGAAGCATTGAAACACCAAAAATCCGATTTGACAGCTTGGCATAAAAGAAAGTCTTGGCAGTTATGGCAAACAGAGTGGGAAACGACTTCTAATGTCAAACTTAGGGAGATAAAAAACACTGTAAAACCTTGGGCCTCATCTCATAGAGGTTCCAGGCACGAAGAAGTTGTCCTTGCTAGGCTCAGAATTGGTCATTGTAGGCTTACTCATTCTTATCTCATGGCAAAAAAAGAGACTCCGCTTTGTGATGTTTGCACAGAAAGAATAACAGTTAAACACATTTTGACAAATTGCAAAAAATATGTAGAAGAAAGACATCGTTTGGAAATTCCAACCAACATCAAAAACTCGCTTGGTGATGACTTCGATCAGATAGACAAACTAGTAACCTTCCTTAAAAAAACTAAACTAATTTCGGAAATATGAAGGTAAAATGATATAATAATTTAATACAAAATCATTCAAGTTCAGTATGCAATGATCTGTAATCCACTCAATGTTGGGAGGTGTCTTGGGGTGCGGTTTGGGTGCCCATCTGGTGGTGGCTGTGAAGGGGTGTCCGGAGCGTGTGATGCTGCCGGGGCCCTGGTTTCCGCTATTGGGGGTTCCTGAGCTGTGGCCCACTCACCACCCAGCTTGAAAGTTTTTTAAGGCGGAAAATGACCCAAAGCGGTTGATCGCCTTTTATAATGTATAAAAAAAAAATTGAAACAAAGTATCAAAGCATCGAAACCAAATTATCAATATCCTGATGCATCGAAACAAAATGATTGATAATCCGAAATGTCGAAATAAAGGTATCAACACCCTGAAGCATTGAAACAAAGTATCAAAGCATCGAAAGAAAATGATCGATAATCCGAAATATCGAAACAAAAGTATCAACACCCAGAAGCATTGAAACAAAGTATCAAAGCATTGAAACAAATTATCAATACCTTGAAGCATCAAAACAAAGAATCAAAGCATCGAAACAAAGTATCAAAGCATTGAAACAAATTATCAATACCTTGAAGCATCAAAACAAAGAATCAAAGAATCGAAACAAAGTATCAAATCATCGAAACAAAATGATCGATAGTCCAAACTATCGAAACAAAAGTATCAACACCCTGAAGCATTGAAACAAAATTGTCAATACCCTGAAGCGTCGAAATGGCTATTAACCCATTTTATTTCTTTCTTCGCTTTCGATACCTCATAACTGTACCTGTCCAAAAGTATAGAATGAATACATAAATCGAGTACATAAGTACAATTGGAGAAAAACCGATGCTCGTAAGTATCGATGGTTTTCCCTATTCCTGAGCACTTGTTGAACCTGAATTTTGGTTATTACCACCTTACCGATCATTTTGGGCTGACTATACTTCAGGCACACTGATGATGGCAAAATGCCGAAACGCGTCTGACAGCCAACCCTGCGAGTATAGGGTGGATGATATGTTTGTGCCAATACCCCTTATGTATTTGTTTAGTGCTTTAATTGATACTTACCTAAAACTTAATAATTTCAGGTAGCCATAGAATACCCGAAGGTAAAACCAAATTCATCCCCTCTTCCTATTCCAAACGATGAGTGGTTCAATTTTAGCAGATTTTCCGCTCAACTCGGTAAAAACGTAAGGTGGACCAGGAGAAATTTCGGGTAAGCTTTTCGCATAATTTAGTCATAATCTGTAGTGTTTAAAGATCGGTTCGATTTCAGGATTATTTTGTTTATCCTCCTTCTACCGGCTATTCAGTCCTTCCTCTTCTGCATATGTTTTGGAAACGACCCAAAAGTTGACGATCTCCCGGTCGCCGTCATTTCCGAGGAGCTGACCGCCCTGACATACAACTGCGAACACTTCCGTCACAATTTGACCTACAGCCCAATATTGGAATGTAACATACCTTATTCCTTGCCATGCGAATTTATCGATCGATTGAAAGAAAAGCTCAACGTGGTTTGTACAGATTATTTCGAATATTCGGCAAATATTGAAAATATTTCAACTTTTAGAGATTATACGACGACGTTGATATGGCCAAGAGGCTCGCCTCCTCTAATAAAGTTTGGGGTGTGCTATACATTTCAAAAAACTTTTCGACATCAATCGAGGAAAGGATAAACAACGGAATTAGCACATCTGATGCCGACATCGATGAGAGTATCATTTCTGTGTGGCTCGACATGTCAAGTAAACTTTGACTCAAGATGAATTTACAACAGATTGTCTAATTGACATAATCATTTTTTTCGTTTATAGGTTATGTCATGTCGAATCTAATCAAAAGGAACATAGGTGACAGCGTGGCAAACTTTGTCACTGGGATTATGAAGACGTGCGGAATTCCGGAAAAAGCCGGCGACATACCCGTCGTGGTGAGTGTTTCATTACAACGTAAGACATCAAATATTTAGGTTTCGTCATAAAAGCATGTTCAGATGTAATTAATAACATCGCTCGAGGCGAGAATTGATAGATGGTTTTTGCGAAACACTTATCTCTTTGAATTAAGTGGGGCAAGGTGGACCGACAATTTAGAAATAAATTATTCACTCCGTAAAAAATGTTCAAAGTAGTCTTTTTTTATATAATTGTTAATATAATTTGATGTAATATTAAAAATATAACGAATGTACTGATCATAGGTTAATTTTGGTTAAGTTTGTGGGAATTTTTTTATTTTTTTTTATTTAGAAATCGTGAGATGCGGTCTGGTGTGATGTAGGTTTCAGAAAAAAATTTTCTTTATCGTGCCAACGTTTCGATCTTTATTGAGATCATCTTCAGGGCTCAAAGTGTTTGTCTTCTGTGTAATTGTGTCATTCTTGCGTGTCGTGTCGAGAGTGGGAATTTATTAACCAGTTTAATTATTTCGATTGTGAAATTCTCGAAATTGAAAAATTACATTTTTTTCTTGTTACTTTGTTATTTAAATTCGAATATTGCCTAACAGTAGTTGAAGAATGTTTGTTATTTAGATTCGAAAATTACCCAAAATCCACTAATTTCGTGGTCCGCTTGACCAATTAATACATTACAATTAATTAAGGTTTTTCGTTGAGATGAAAAAAAGTTAATGGCACGAGCGGGAACTGATAAGGTGGGGTTGAGATAGGAAGTTGATGTCCGAGTGGATCGAGGATCCCCAGCACCTTTCCACGATTTGTTAATTTAAGGTCAAAGGATCCCCAGCACCTTATTACAATTTATTAATTTAAGGTCGAAGGATGCTCAGCACCTTTCCACGATTTGTTAATTTAAGATCGAAGGATCCCCAGCACCTTTTTACAATTTATTAATTTAAGATCGAAGGATGCTCAGCACCTTTCCACGATTTGTTAATTTAAAATCAAAGGATGCCCAGCACCTTTCCACGATTTGTTAATTTAAGATCGAAGGATGCTCAGCACCTTTCCACGATTTGTTAATTTAAGATCGAAGGATGCTCAGCACCTTTCCACGATTTGTTAATTTAAGATCGAAGGATGGGCTAGCCGAGTGGTTAGCGTGAGAGACTCTCGGCTCATAGACGCCGCGGTCGTGGGTTCGATTCCCACCGTCGCCTCTGGCCCTTTTTTCACGATAACCCCCCCCCTTCCCCAAATATGAACATGTATAAGAATTCGTCACCATGGTTAATATGCATAGATCATAAGGCCATAAAAAAAAATTAAAAAAAAAAATGGAAGGATCCCAGCACCTTTTTACAATTTATTAATTTAAGATCGAAGGATCCCCAGCATCTTTTCACGATTTGTTAATTTAAGATCGAACGATGCCCAGCACCTTTACACGATTTGTTAATTTAAGGTCAAAGGATCCCCAGCACCTTTCCAGGATGGATTGTCAATTAGGCTCGAGGAATGTCAAGTATCATTCCACGATACTTTGTTGATTTAGGCTCGGAAACTGCCCAGAATATTTGCACGATTCTTTGCTAAGTTAAGCTCGAAGAATACCAGAATATTTTCACGATAATTTCTTAATTTAGGCTCGAAGAATGCCCAGCATCATTGCACAATACTTTGTTAATTTAGGCTGGAAGAATCCTAACCATCTTTTCACGATACTTTGTTAGCTTTGGATCGAAGAATCTCTAGGGTCTTTGTCCTATACTTTGCTAAGTTAAGCTCGAAGAATATCTGCATCTTTTCACAATTCTTTCTTAATTTAGGCTCGAAGAATGCCCAGCATCATTGCACAATACTTTGATGATTTAGGCTAGAAAAATGCCCAATATCTTTCCCGGATTCTTTGTTCATTTAGGCCGGGAGAATATCAAAGATCTTTTCACGATACTTTGCTAATTTGATTTCGATATTGTCAAAAATCTTTTTACAACACTTTGTTCTTTGTGTTTGAATATGACGAAGCTACATTTTACTGCACTATTATTTTATTCGATAGGCAGCATCTTTTCATGACATTTTATTTTGATTCGAAGATTACCGAGAACATTTTTATAATATATTGTATTTAAGATGTATTGCTGATCATTTTCCACCGCAATGACCTTACGATGGTATAATGCTTTCCCACAAGGCATACACGCAGAAGCATTTTAAGTATGATATTAAAATATTATCCCATTAGATAAAAGCTATTGTTTAATAGTTACCCAATAGTTTCAATCCTAGTTATTTTGTTGTTACCATGAGTGGAAATTGAATAATTAATATATTATTATTTAGAGCTTTGTTTTAAATTTAATTTTTTTCTAGTTCCAAGATGCTATTTATGGGAGCAATTCTCCTATAGCGACTCATAGCACTGCTCCAGCTTTCGTCTGCTCGTCAGTATCTTCTCATAAATTGTATAATAATTAAGTTTTAAATTTACTAAAATCATTTGTTTTTTTTATGTTTTTAGATTCATTTTCTACTTTGCTATGACTTTCACAAGTGGGGCGATTATGATGGAGAAGATGTTCGGAATCGTCGAGAGAATAATGGTCGCCGGTTAGTGACCGCAATTAGCCGCAAGACGATCAAAATAATTACACTGAAATAAATTTTCTAGGTATGACACGCTTTGAAATAATTACCGCTCATTTGGTCGTCCAATTCTTCATGATGACGTTGCAGGCGGTCTTTATGCTGTTTATATTGTATTACGTCTACACGAACCCGTTTGACGGAAGTTTCGTCCTTTCAATGGGCATGTTGTACCTCGTTGCCTTCGTCGGCATTGCTTTCGGTAAAATGTGGAAATCGTCCATTTAAAGTTGCACTTTTACCGATGTACTTTTCTTTTTAACAGGGTTCTTGACAAGTGAGATTTTCTCAGAAGAAAAAATGTCCTCTTACACCGGTATCGGTATGATCTTGGCGATTTTTATGCTCGGAGGATTACTGTGGCCGTTGGAAGGTGCTCACATCGTGTTGAGATCTTGGATACGGTTTTTCCCACTGGTGGCTGCGATCGAAGGATACGCCCACATCACCCTCAAGGGCTACGATTTCTTCCACAGGACGGTCTACATGGGCTATGTTTCTTGTTTCGCATGGATTATCATTTTTGGCGGTCTCTCGTATATCATTTCAAAAAAGACAAAAGGATCTTAGTTTTGCTCAAAATAATTTAAATTACTTTTTAATTAATGTATATAAAAATGCGTTATTGTAAATATATTTTTCTTTTAATTACTCCCAAAAAACGCTCAGTAAATCTACAAGAAAATTTATTATGTTTTGCTCAAATAATTATAATTTGTTTTCTGAACATGATTGTATATTGTAAATAAATTTTTAACTTCTTGAGTAACCTTGAGACTTTTTTACATCTAGAGTTTCTAATTCAAAATTATAGGGTAGCATTCCTACTCGCTACCTATATAGAGCCAAGGCCTGACTACTCGCTTTATATATGGAGCCAAGGAATGACTCTTCAACCATGTTCAACCAACCGTGGAGTACATACTCTCACCCTACAATAAATATATACAGCTAGTCTAATAGTAGGTCGTGTGATACTTAACGAAGTGCTTCTCTGAGTCCTAGGGCATCAATAAAACAACACTCCTTTTTGCTGCGAAAGGAGGACCCGAAGATTCTCTGTCATTATCAAGCAACAACTCGCTCCCTGCATGGAGCCAAGTTCTTTTTCAACTATCGATGGATGAGGTTCTTCTTAGACCTTCTCTGCCAAGCACATTTTTCAATTACGTGGAACACAGCTAGTAACTGCATTCAGAACATTCTTAAACTAATGTAACATATGACCTTCTTCATACCAGTTTGTAATAAATGATATGACTTAACTTATATAGCAACACTTTATTTTCTTACTTCCGTGCGCGGATCATTTGCAGCGGCTACTTACACAAGCGTCCTATGTCGGACCGTTGCTTCGTTTAATCTATTTATAAGTTTATCCTCCACAGACGATGTTATAAGTTGGAAAACGACATTTCTGGGAAACGTTTTTTTGCGCTCTTCATTATCGTGCTCGGTCTTATTGGATCGACGTTCTCTTTCATCCACCTAGCTGCTAATGTCCGAAACGGATAACCGACCCTGTGGGGTAACAATATTAATTTGACATTAAAAAAAAAAAAAGATATCTTTGAACTTACTGAAACAGTTCATCCTGTCTTTTTTCATTCCATGGCAAAAACCTTACGGGCTCTCCTGGGTATGGAAATTCTTGATGTTGATTCAAAGGAAGGACGTGGTCGCATGGGTCTTTTTTTTTAAACAAGCGTATTAGAACAAAAGTAAAGCTGAGTAAGACGTGAAGCGGTACCTTTCGACTTGGCATCCCTTTTATGAACGCAGCCGGTCGGAAAGCAGCAGGACTTGCATTCTTCCGATTCTTCCTCTTCGGCGTATGATTCACCTCTGCTATATACACGGCTGCATAATTCGTTCTTCTCGGGTACAGTGCTCGGATCGAAATGTGTTTCGGCGATCGATGGTTTAGACACACAGGAAGATTCTGACCTGGAATGACATTTAAGAGTATTTTTGTTATAAACAAAATTTCTTTAGCTCACGTTAGGATTTCGATAGGATCTTTCTTCTTTTTATAAACCTCCCCAGGTATGTAATTATCTGGGGAATGGAGGTGCAATTCCTTTATGAAGTCTACTTTCGGCGGCATGGTGAAGAACTTTCTAGTATGACAGTCGTTGATGCTTCCCACAGGACTTTCTTGCTGTAAGTGTCTCGATCCTGGTGGGTTTTCATACCAAAACGGCGGCTCTGCCACCCTTTGCCTGTATATAATAGAAATAGCGATGCCAATTCAATAGGGTTTTTTTAAAAATATCGATAACCTACTTCAACATGTCATCATTCTTTTGTATTTCTTCTGTCGGAACGGCTACTTTTTCCTGATCACCTGTGTTCATGATTTTCTTTCTTTTCTTCTCCGCAAAAGCTTTTCGCTCGATTTCAAGAGCGTGCAGCATCTTCTGCCTGTACTCGTTTTTTATAAATTCCAATTCGTAGACGACAGATCGCGGGAATAAACTCAGTTTTACTTTTTAAAAAAAATGTAAAAACCTCTGGTTATCTTAGTTCAGATTTAGAAAAATTTGGGAAATTATCATAGATTTACCAGGATTGGCAATTCGAAACGGACGATTGTACTTATCGGAAACGGCTTTCATCTGGTAACCCATTTGATTGAGAGGCTGTGCGAAAAACCCTTTATTCCTGTTGACTAAGAACTTCCGGTTCAGGTCCGTAACAGGCGGCGGAATCGGACTAAAAAAATATAAATCAAATACACTATTACGGACAGACAAAACGTAAAAATTGCCATAGGATATTACATATCGGCTCCGCATTTAAAATGCATATGCTTTCTAGGTACATTGGCGTATTTTGGGTTCAGCTTAGCCTTTCCGACCCCGCCGTATTCGGTAAAGTGAGCCCCGTACGTTGAATCTACAAAATATGTGAGCTATGAAACAAGAACAAGCATAACTTCTATGGGATTTGTCGAGGCCTAAAAGGAGTGTAGGTTGTTCATCATTCAAGACGTCTGACCCAGCCAGCGTGAACAGGCCTCAACTCCCCTCGGAAATTAGTTAAGGTTTTTAGTTGAGATAAAAAAGTCAGTGTCAGGAGCGGGATTCGAACCCACGATCTTCGGCTAGATACGCCGCTACTCTACCGCTATCGTGCGGACACTAACTTCCTATCTCAACCCCATCTTTTGAATTTTCCCTCCTCTCGGAAAGTTATCTTCACATAGAAGAGTCTTATATTTGACTGTTCATGGCTATTGTTTTTCTACATAATTTTTTTTTCAGGTTCTTCCAGGTTTATTTCCAAGGATTACCTTCAGGAGACGCATCTTTAGCGAGAAATAGTGCTACATTTTTCTGAGTCTCTCTAGGTGGAGCCTCTGGAGTGAATTCACTGCTTGAGCACATAAAGCGGGGAACCGGTTGGAGGCAGTAGTTCCCCAGCATAATGTAATCGCTCTCAACATTCATTTTGTTTTAAATTTCTACTAATAATTTAGAAAACCAGAACCGAAATTTGAATATGGCTTCAAAAAACTTCACAAAATGTTTTTGTTAAATTTTAACTATCATGTGGTTATAAGGTGGTGGCACGTAATATATGTGTTTTTGATGTTTTTTTTTTGTTTTTGTTTACGGACTTACCCTCGAAATTAGAGTTACGTTCTAACTGTCTCCACAGGTTACTTTGGGTAAGCCTAAGAGGACAATCGGGAGTAAAGACTGCATTTGAGGCGACGTAGTGAGGGATGAAATCAATATTTCCCGGGAATGTCATGATCAACTACGTTCTACGTTCTACGAATTAGTAATAACCACAAAAAAACGTTATTTGCTAAAATAGTTTTTGAAAACTACAAATGTTTTTAACACTACCGGTATTTATGTCATCTGTGGAATTTTTCTTCGACAAATATTATTTGCTGGGGACCGAGGTAGACTCTCGCGGTCGTGGGTTCGATTCCCACAGTCGCCATTGGAATTTCTGCCCCTGAATCAAAAAAACATGTTCTGATCATTGTTAATCTGTAAGGACACAAAGCCAAAAAAATCCCTACGATTATTTTATTTTGCCGCAAATGATGGCCCGCATGAATGTTCCAAAAGTCAGCCGCAACGACGAAGATCAAAAAGCGACAGTCTATGTCATATCCAATAATTCGGACAGACATCAGTATCAAGTTCGTAAAAATATTAAAAAGCCGTCCTCACTATTGACATTTCCTCCAGAATTCCTCATGAACTAACAAAAATCAGCGAGGATAGGCCAGGATGGTAGGTAACTATCAAACAATAAATACAGACTGACTTCAGTATCAAGTTCATTTAAACAAAAAAAAGCTTAATAGTCCTATTGCTATGATCCTTATTGTAAGAACAGATCAGACTTTTATTGGAGGTGTGTTAGTAGATTAGTACATTTCCATCTTGGACGAGAAACCCATTTTGGGGTGCCCATGTAGTATCAGTTCTTCAGAAAAAAACTCGTCATTAAAAATTGATCACCTTTGTTGACACAGCAGTATGACTGGATCCATGCTCCACTGGACTCTCCAGTGAACTTTTTGAAAAATCTCCTGATCATACCTGTTATCCCTATTATTAAAACTGTTTACTAATGATGACCCATATGACATTTTGGATGATCCGTAAGTTAGCCGGAACGATAGTTCAAAAACAATGGACAGACTATGCCATATCGCAAGTTAATTCAGACAGACTTAGGTATCAAAGGATTATAAAAAAGAAGCTGATCTAAAGGTATGTTTCTTAATGTAAAACCAGATCAGAATTTTATTTGGGATGGTTCGGGCTAAGTACTTCAAGGTGGTTTACTGCCAAGTACCTTGTCATCATGGACGGGCATCCAGTTTTGGGGTGCCCGTGTAGTATCAGTTCTTCAGAAAAAACTCGTCATTAAAAATTGATCACCTCTGTTGACACAGCAGTATGACTGGATCCATGCTCCACTAGACTCTCCAGTGAACTTTTTGAAAAATCTCCTGATGATACCTGTTATCCCTATTATTAAAACCGTTTACTAATGATGACCCATATGGCATTTTGGATGATCCGTAAGTTAACCGGAACGATAGTTCAAAAACAATGGACAGACTATGCCATATCGCAAGCTAATTCAGATAGACTTAGGTATCAAAGGATAATAAAAAAAAAAAGCTGATCTAAAGGTATGTTCCTTAATGTAAAACCAGATCAGAATTTTATTTGGGATGGTTCGGGCTAAGTACTTCAAGGTGGTTTACTGCCAAGTTCCTTGTCATCATGGACGGGCATCCAGTTTTGGGGTGCCCGTGTAGTATCAGTTCTTCAGAAAATATGTGGTTCAAAAACATAGTTTGCCACTGGATATTAAAAACTGATCTTTCTACTGTTTATTCGATCCTACGGTCCTATGACTGGACGCTCCAACGACAGATTACAAAGATAGACTGCGAAATTGCTAAGAATAATAAAATTAGGTCCGTGGTATGTAAAAACTAATATCTTCCAGGACCCTGAAGGTCTGAAAAAGATAAATCTTCACATTGAACAAGGCTAAAAGTGCTAAAGTATACTAACAGTGATAATATTTGTCAAATTTAAAGCATGAACAATTTACAGAATTTCAGCTATAGGCATAGACCACCAATGGATGTTCTGCAGTAAAATTGTTAAAATAACAATAAACAAGTAATTTATTTATTTTTTATATCACACAAGACCCATTAAGGTTATTTGTCGAGCACTGATTTCCGAAGAGGATCACATCCTGGGCTATTGTTGAAGTTAGGCCCACACGTCAACCGTTGTTCGGTGACTGCTGAATACCTGTCTCCCCAGGACTTCGTGCTGGTCGATTTTCGATTTTCTTCTACTGTCTCATTCAGGGACAGAGCGTCTCTCCTCTTGACCTCGTTGTAAAAGTCGTACGTCGGCGGAGGAATACTCTTAACGTCGAACTCCTTGTAAAAATCCGGGTGCTTCGGTGTCCAGTGAAAAAGCCTGTAGGAAAACGATCCGAAATGTAGAAAATCTTTAATAATCAAATGAAAACATAATCACTAACGGATTCGCGAACTGTTGCGAACTGCTCCTGGTAGGTGTTGCCTCCGGTGGAAGACGAGTTACGGCCAAATCCCGTATATCGCCCATTAAACCGTGCCGAGGCTTCGCTTGACATTCCGGGTACCAGAATGGCATTTCGTACAAACTATCCCTGATAAGATCCAGTGATAAAAATGTCAATCAAATTAAGAAAATCGTGAACGACTTGACGCAGATAGGTAAAGGGGGTTAGAAGTATTACAAAACGAGAAGAGTTATTCAGATATCGTGAGATGCGGTCGGGGTCACTTAATCTCTACACATTTCTAAACGAGAAGAAATGCGTTTTCTTTAAGCACAACCGAACTCTTTCCAGCCGTTGAATATATGTAAGAATGGTCAAATTAGACCAAATTCTGAGACTATAAGATAAACTTTGCTCATTCATTATCACTCTTTCTCTCACATCTTACGCTCTCTTTCTTCTTTTATCACTCCATCATATCTCTCTCCTCTCTCTCACTTTTTCTCTCTTTTTATCTCAGATTCTCTCTTCTTCTGGTCTTTCTCTTTTTCTTTCTCAGCCTCTCATTTTTCTCCCCCCCTCTCTCTCTCTCTCTCTCTCTCTCTCTCTCTCTCTCTCTCTCTCTCTCTATATATCNCACACGCGCGCGCGCGCGCGCACGCACACACACACACACACACACACACACAATACACTCTCTCCCCCTCTCTCTGTGCTGCTCTCACTGCTAACCATATTCCAATAAGAATAAGTTAAAACTACTTGTATTTTAAGTTCAATTATTCAGAACGAAGATGCTTAGATATAAAGCACGCAAGTTCATCGTCCTTGAGTCGTAAAAATATTGATAATGTGCTCGTTCGTACGTTGCGTGTTTCAAACCTCCAACTCCTGTTATGTAGAAAAACCGCAATAAGTATTTTTATAAGGGCAATTCAATTGTGTACGTAGCCCTCGCGCATTTTCAAATTTAAAATTTTCCTTCAATAAGCATTGTGAAAAAAACTGTATGGTATTTAAACAAAAACAAAAACATAGCGAAACGTTCGGAAAATTAGAATTTTTTTTCGTCGTTACATTTTAATTATTTTTTATTGTATTATTTTACAAGAAAAGAAGGCTGAATTTCCTTACATGTCCATATTTTTTGAATTTGACAAATGGGCTACTGCCTCGACCCTGTGGTCTTCCTGTTGCATCTTAAAATTTAGAAAATGTACGTAAATTTTATTAACCTAATAAAAACGGGAGAGTAAGCAACCGTTTTGGGACCAGAATTTCATTACTAGATATGCTTTTGTTTTTTAACTTTTGATTTAACAACTGTAGGCAAGATTAAAACTGTGACAGTAAGGCATTTCAAATCGAATGAAACTATTGAGAAAATGCATTTATTTTTCAAAAAAATAAAAAAATCTGTCAACAGAAAAATAATAAATAAAAGAAGCTTTCGTTACTTCCGGTCGACAGTGTATCTCCTGCAGCAGGGATTTGTACCAGGAATGTGGACGTGTTCACTGCATTGGTGATCCCCGTAAAAGACGCAGGATCTCCTTTTGCCCGTCGGGACTTGATTTGCGTAGTTTAACACGGGTAAGTTTTCCGCGACGTTCCACGACCGGGTGTTTAGGGTCGACGAGCCACTCGGAGAGCTTTGTAACGTGGAAACGCTGTCGTAATTGCTGCTCAACTTCTCTCTTCGCATCACGCTTTCGTAAAGCGGGTACGTTATCGGAGGAAAGTCTTCTGGTTTGAAAGTTTTGTGGAATCCGTACGTTTTCGGCTTCCATATGTCTTGGCAGCTACAATTAAAATTAAGCATTATACATTTGTCTGGCCTTTTGAAGTATATCATTGTTGTTTTGGTCTGTTGGTTTGTATTTTCACCATTTTCATTAGTGGGTATGCCCCATTTTGTAAAGATGGCGATGCTGTTATAAAAGATGTGAAATTATTGATGTTTATCTTATGCTATTGATTTTTAAATAAGCATCATCAAAATAAATGCAAACATGTGATTTGTTTAACCAGGGTGCGTTCCAAATTGATTTAATTAAAATCACAGAATTCTTTACCGTTCATCAGTTTGCGGTGCTTTCAGAATTTCTTTAGGCACTTTTGACTTGTAGATTTCACCGGGCAAATACATTTCTTTCTTGTCGACGCCCATCTCTCGAAGCCATTCCTTCTTCTCAACCGGTTGCATTAGTTTGACAATCGCCATGTCGTCCAAATTGCCTACAGGGCCGAAACTTTTTGCTTTGATCTGGCAGCACGGGTACCAGAAAGGGGGCGCGATGTCACATTGTATGGCGCTGAAATTTTACACTCGGTTAATCGTTAATTTAACTGAGATGTCGCACTCGTACGCACTTTCCTATCTTCAGCGCGGCTTCTGGTGTAATGTAATCGCCATTTTCCATATCGCGTTGCCTTCAATTCGACCCAATTGGATTTCATACGACTGATTTAACTGATTGAAATTTTGAAAAAAAAATTTCTGCTTGAAAGCATGTGAAACTAAACAAAAATACAAATTTAAATTATGATTTTAGTGTAAAATAGTTTAACTGTATTTTTTTTTATAATTTTTTACCTTTACAAAATGGTTGCTTTTAAATTTTGTATATATAAATAATCTTTTTTCCATTGTGTTCTGCTTTAAATTACTAATTTATAGTTTAGAATATTAAATTGGCATTTAAAAAGCTACACGTCTAGTAAAGTAATTTTTGTCATTCATACTCAGGACAGCTTAACAACCAACATCGGTTGTCAAAAACGAGGGATCAGAACCACTTTTTTTTTTTCAAATTCTTAATTCAAAAGACATGGTTTTCAGACCGTGGAAGTCAAATAGTCAATATGATTGATTCTTGGCTCTAGATGTTAGTTTGATTCCGACTGTCGCCCCTGATCCTTTTTTTTTCAAGCAACCCTTCTCCCTATAAAAGAAGAATTAAATATGACATTCCTTGGCTAATATGCAAAGTTCATAAGGCCATTAAAAAAATCCATGGATTACGCCAGGATTCGAACCCAATATCCCTAGCCTCAATGATTTGCCCACTGCAGTCTACATTCTTTCGTTTAGTAATTTTCCCGCACCACTTCAAAAACTAAAATTCATTTGAAATTTGTTACAGCATAAATTCAAGTATGGTATGAAAGCAAAAATTTGTGAGATTTCTTTGTAGTGCTAACTTGATTTTTTTTCCTTTGACGATTTCTAAGCCAATTGAAAATATCACGCCTCCAGACAAATAAAAACAAAATATAAAAATTTATTCCTCAGTTTCATATCCATCTTTTTTGGATTTGTGGTCAAACTATTAGAAAGATTTCATCTTGCGGCCTGTGGGGTGAAGGAACTTTGTTCTTTTCCAATCATCAAACCCACTAATAAAGAAAAACATAATTTTTTTCAGGAAAGGAGAAAATGTTAGGATATGAATGAATCATTTACAAAAAGTGAAATCTTGTTACTCACCCCATATTTATTATTTCTACAAGTATAATGGTGATATTAATACAATGAAAAAATAGCTAATTTTAGGCTGGTGTAGGTGGGGTCTGGGTGCTCTTCAGTCAAATGTATCTTGGGCTGGATGCCACAATTCTATGGCATCCTTGGGCCGCAATAACTTCCTGGATTGGAGAAGGATGTGGATGGTGGCACTGCAAAAACCTTTCTAAACAATCTGTATAGGTAAAAAACAATGCCCTGATGTCCGGCAGGTGGATCTCTTATTGTTTAACTATTAATTTTGTAACTGTTAAATTAACGCCTTTTTTTGAAATTTTTGTTAAAGGGAATTCTAAACTCAAGCAGATAGCTTTTTACCATGCTTGCAATTTACTGTAATTATTTTATAAACCATTACTTTTATTTTTTCTTCTTTTGAATTGGCTTTTCTTTTTTTTCTTTTTTTTGAGATGATAATCAAATTGGGCTTTATAATGGCTATAATTTTCCTTAATTGCCTGCTGAGAGAGATTTTTGTTTTCCTGGTTGAGATGTTGATGAACTTATTTTATTTGTTTTGTACCACGTGAATTCATCCAGTATGTGGTTTAGCGTGGTAAAGGCTTGGGTATTATCTAAGAATAGACATCAATCAATTTTATTACACTTAAAAATATACAATTACATACAAATAAAACATTTCAGACAAATTAAACTATAAAATAATAAATAAAATATTAAAAAAACTTTGTTTTTCAGGAAATTATTTATTTGTCATGTGATATTTATCCTACAAGGAACTTCTTGCTTGACAAATTTCATTATATGCTAAATGACATTTTATATCACAGATTACAGGCAGGGGGTAACCCGACGCCTTCTAGTTCGTCAATTGTCACAATATGATACTCTCAAAGGAGATTAATCAGTTACGCAATCGTTACTGATATAATAGGAAGAAAGCCTACAGATGTTCAGCAGCATTTGCCAATTTTTTTTTTTGTTTAAATCGTACGGCAAGTTAACTGGGTGCGTCCACATTTGGAAATTTTTTCATAAAAGCTGCCGCAATGCCGTGACTGGCTTCTGCGACCATCGTTTCTATTAAAGAATCGGCGATTTGGTTTTTAACCAGGTTTTCTTCGTATGAGAAATTTGTCCATTCGCCTTCCTCTTCTTGAAGCTCTTTGACTAAGATCTCGTCGACGAGGTCTCTCCTCTTTTTTGTCCATCTCATTATCATATTTTCCTTAATTATCTTCGGTTCATAACCAAAAATAATATTTCCCTCTTTGTTCACAAATTTAAGAAGGTCTGCTTTAGTTCTAAAAAAAAAAAAAATTTTAAAAATGAAAATAAAAAATAAAAAATTTGTTTCATACCTAATTGGAGGAAGTGGTTTTCTCGGAGGATGGGCAACAACCCAGGGTGGTTTGGCTGCTTCTGGTCTAGGCTTGAATTTTAAAAATGTTTCTTTAGCCAAATCAAACATGAATTCCCTATACGAATGATCTTGGATTGTTGACAAGAAACTCTCCGGCATTTGCACACTCGCCGGATCGTTTCCTTTGGATTCCTCGTCCCAGATTATTTCAACGCCCTGACTCAACCTTGACAACGTTTCTTCCTTAGTAGGCGGAGAGTGCTTTGGAGGGGTGTACGGAGGAGGCGGCTTGTTGGGTATCTCTCGTACATAATAATATGGGACAACCTCTTGAGCTTCTAACTTCTCGATCTAAAAAATCGAAGGGAAAAAAAAAGAAATTTCCTTTTATCAAAAAATATGCAAATACAATACCTCTTGTTCAATTTGGAGCTGCTTTAGACGCAATTCCTGGGCTTCTTTAACTGCCTGAGGCGTAAGCCCTTCACCATGCCACAACATATCTCCATCATTATTTTTCTCATTCCTTCCAACTGTGATTCCTTCATTCTCTGCTAAAGGAAAACTTTCGGCTATAGAGAAAAAACAATGTTAAATTAGTTCCTGCTTAGACTTAGAACCTAAACAAAGATAAAACAATATCTAAGAAATCTATTTATTTTTCTTCTTGTCAACCCACCACTGAAGATGGCAAAAGAAAAATGAGTCTTGATACAAAACAGTAAGGCTAGGCAGAACAAAACATGTTCAGAAATTACTATCATTTCTGTGATCTTAATAAAAATAATTTAACTGGGTCAATTACAGCATAAATTCTATGCTAAATTAATAAGAATTCACATGTCTTATAACAAAACTAATAAAAAATTTCAATTTTAAATTGGGTTCTGCGAGGTGATGAACATGTATTTGATCATCTTGTAACGTAGCTATTCGCCAGGAATTGTTTGCAGCACAATTGTTAAAAAACAAAAAAGTTTTTATTTAATGTACTAAAATCTGTTGTTTGGACCTTAGGTGTTTGGTGTAACATTTTTTTTTTGTTTGCAAGTGGGTGAGGTGATCACTTCCTTTGACATTTTGCGACTACTTCTTATGCATGTCCTCATTGTCAATTTATTTTGTTCATTAAACAATTATATAATTATTGTGTTTTTTGTAAATTCTCTGCCAATCAAAAAAAATGCAAGATCCGCAATTCCCCAAGTATAAGGGAAGTCATAAGTGGTAGCAGAGCGTGGTTGAAATTTTATCTTTTTTGGAATTTTTTTTTTCTTTTTTATAATTTACGGAGCTTATGTCTGTTTTTTCCCCTTATACTTGGGTAATTGCGGATCTTGCCTTTTTTTTATTGGCAGAGAATTTACAAAAAAAACTATAATTATATAATTGTTTAATGAACAAAATAAATAGACAATAAGGTTATGAAAACATATATAAGAAATTATCGCAAGGTCAAAGGAAGTGATCACCTCGCCTGCTTATAAAAAAAATAAAAAAATAGTCACACCAAACACCAAAGGCCCAAACAGCAGATTTTGTTGCCAGATTGCCCAAACAAACCTATTTTTTTTATCAATTGTGCTGCGACACGTTTTCGAGATTCTCTTTGGGCGGAAGCCCCTACCGGCGGTGCCAGGTCGCTGGAATCTTCTCCCAGTGCTTTAGGAGGGGAGGCGGAGTTGACGACAATTCCTGGCAAATAATCTACGTTACAATCTATGATCATCGGCCTATTTCTTGCTAATTTTTGATATCTGACGACTAATAAGCCCATCGATGAAGATGGTGAAAACAAAAATAAAAATAGCAAAGACATGCAGACCAAAAATGATTGAAATCATTTAATTTGTATTTAATTAGGACAATTATAGCATAAATTCAATGCTGAAAGTGATCGGGGGAAGACAAGGGAAGAAAATATTTTCAATTTACATTGAACTTAAGTAAACGAGCTTAATTGCAGAGACTAGACATCAACTACAGAGTAGTCCTGCTAATCTGAACACGTGGTCTGTGGATAGGAAATTTTTTACTTTGCAAACATAATTATATTGATAGATTGAAAAATTCCAAGATTTCCGTGGTTGAAAACTGAATTGAATTTATTCAATTTAGTAAATTACATGGACATTCGGGCTCCTGGCCCATCATCAGCAAATAAACATAAAGAAATCTCATGGTACAATTGACAATCTGAAGGCACACCCATCAGTAATTTGCAATTTTTTAAATAAAAGTATTTAAAAATATCGAGGGGAATGTCGTCAAAATTGTTTTAAAACTGTAATAGAAACATATATTTTATTTTAGTTTCTATTACAGTTTTAAAACAATTTTGACAAAATTCCCCTCCACAAATAAAGGGGGTGGAAAAATAATATATATGTATCATTGGCATAGTCCAGGTATAAATACTTTTATTTAAAAAATTATAAATTACTGATGGATGTGCCTTCAGATTGTGAATTATACCATGAGATTTCTCTATGTTTAGTTTCTGATGATTGGCCAGGAGCCCGAAAAGCCATGTAATTTACTAAAGTGAATAAAGGTTTTCAACCACGGAGATCTTGGAATTTTTCAACCTATCAAAAGAGAAGATATGAACTGTGGAGTTGGTAATATATAAAATAATATAATTATAGTTATTAATACTCGCTCTGTAATGTCGATTTTCCTGTACTTTAACGCTTAAATTGTGATGCCTGTGAGGTGATGCATTTACATTGTAACACATACATTTGAAAATAACCACCCGCCGTTAAGAGGCGTAACAAATGAATGGAAGGGAGAAGCAACAGAGGAGACGAGCAGATCAAATCGTGCCATGAAAAGGACAGTTTTGCATGCAACCCGGAGACTTTTAAAAAAGAGAAAAAAGAAGTGCTATCAACTTTGACAACCTTCCTAACCTTAAAAAAGTTTCTTTTTTCTTTTAACGTATGTATATTTGTATTGGAGTCGTATTGCTTTTATTTTAGATTAATATTGACCTATATTTATTTCACAATTTAATTTAACAATCATTAAATCATTGGTACAATTTTTTTTTAAACAGATATTTATGCTTGTTTGTTAAGTTTCTATGCTGTCTGTTACTAACACAAAGAAATTAATACCCTTCATGGACCACCGTTAGAGTAAACAAACAAACTTAAATTACTTTGAGACAGTGTATACAAGAAAAGTGTCACAACACAAAAAGCGGTAGTTTTTTTAGTGGTAGTACAACTGGATTTTTAAAGTTTTGTGTTTTTGCTTGTCTTGGACAAACGAAACACAATATTGATCGACCATAATGGCGTGTACTTAATACATAAATAACAAAGAGTATACTTTGTAAAATTTTCTTTTGTTGCGTTGTGTCACTTTTTCTTGTGCAATTGAAAGTTCGATAATTGACAGCGTAAATGAGCGGAATTTATATTTTTAATATTTTCTATAAAAAGGGCATAACTGGGTTAGTAAATAATTGTGACAATAATTAAACCTAGATGGACCACCGTTAGAGTAAACAAACAAACTTACATTACTTTGAGGCAATATATACAAGAAAAGTGTCACAACACAAAAAGCGGTAGTTTTTTAGTGGTAGTACAACTGGATTTTTAAAGTTTTGTGTTTTTGATTGTCTTGGACAAACGAAAGACAATATTGATCAATCATGAGTTTTTATTAACAACAACCATAATGGCATGTACTTAATAGATAAATTAAAAAAAGTATACTTTGTAAAATTTGGGGTTGTGTGATATGCGCAATTGAAAGTTCGATAATCGACAATGTAAATGAGCGGAATTTATATTTTAATATTTTCTATAAGAAGGGCATAACTGAGCTAGTAAATAATGGTGACAATAATTAAACCCTTTAAACCCAGATGAACTTTTCTGGTTACCTAGTTTTTGCAATATGTTATTTAATAATAATGGCTATTATAGATTAAAATGTAAAAATAATTAATTCGTTTACCTTGACTATACATGAAATTTTTCTTCTTGTCGAAAGCAGCAATCGCCGCATCAGTTGCTTCATTTATTATATTTGTGCAGATGACTTGTATGATGTAGTCGACATTCACATTTTGCTGTCTTTCCCTTTGGAGGGCAGAGAGGAGTGGTGTCTCTTCTGGATTTTTTTCATACTGTTCCATATTCTCCTTCCAGAGTTTGTCCGAAAGTTCGAAAGAATTGTGGATCAAATCAAAAACTTCTTCGCTGAGTCTTTCCCTAGGATTTGTTTTTACGTCGTTAGCGACTTCCATGACATTTGCTTCACCTTGATCGCTGAACCTTTTCGACGAGTGTGACGAAGATTCTTCCAGACTGTCGATGACCTCGGTCTCTGATTCTACAGATAAGGACTCATCATATACTTCCTCGATTTCCTCGTGATTATCCTTTCCACTCTCTTCCGCAATCGCTTCTGATATTTCATAGCTCTTCGATGCCGGGAATGATGGTGGGCTCGAGGCTGCTGCTACACTCTTTTCATCAGACTTTTTGCCTGGCGATGATTGGGACAAATTAGGTTGTATTGTTGAAAGCTCTTCGGGTACAGAGAATACAGATTGTGACTGTTGATTTTTATTCTCAGAGGCGGTTTCAACCTCATCGAATTCGTGATCAACGCCACAGTTTGTATACGAACTGGCCACTGACATCTCCCCGGATGATAGTGTAAATGATTTGTTCTCGTGGCTAGGAGAGTGCTTCTCTTCTAAAAATTGAGATATGGTCCTTTTTGAACCTTCTTCCGTTTGAAACGTCGGAGAATATTCACTCAACGACTCTCTGAGACTGTTGAGAAACGTGTCTTTTTCAAGTTGCTCGCTGATACTTTTGACATTTGATTGAGGACTTTTTTCAGGAGTAAGAGTTTTCACACTTTCAGTAGGTTTTGTCTTGCTCTCTTCCGACGGGATACATGTAGGAGTATCAGAAGAGCTCGCCTTCGAGTGGAATTTTTGATCATTTGTATCGTTTGATTTTTTTGAAAAATGTTCGCTAATTTCATCAAGGTTGATACTTTCAGGAGAAATCGATGAAAAACGTCCAGATCCTGTTTCAGTCCCATAAGAGCCAATTAATTCACTGATGATGTTCGTCGTAGTATGAGACTCAGGGGAATAAGACCTAAATTTACTTTCTGTTGGAATCATACTGGAAATGGTCGTCTGGTTTGTCGGAGAAGTTGAAATATCATGTATTGCCTTGAAAGATGATGCTGTTTTCACCTCTGTGTTATGTTCATTCGATTCTTTAGTTTCGCTGCTCATATGTGATTCTTCGATACCTGCCTTGGTTTCATCATGCACAGAAGACTCTTTAACTTCCGGCACGATAGTTTCTTCAGATGTATCTTCTTCGACTTCAATTCTTTCACTGATTTCTGCTTCAGATTTAGTGGCAAAGCTGGCATCGAGGTTTTCAGAAACTTCTTTTATCGGGCTGGAGCTAGATTTGGAAGGGATCGAGCTAGGTATGTTTTCTGTTACTTCTTTCAAGTCAGATTCAGGATTTGTCATCGGCAATGTGGCTTGTTCGACATATTCCGATATTTCTTGCATGCTCGTTTTCGTCTGCGACTGTGTGAGAACGGTCGAAATGTCGCTGACTGGTGATCCACTAGTGATCATTTGATGGGCGATGTCTATGACTTCCTGCACCTGAGCGGATATCTGTTCTGGCACACTGCTATGCGACTTTGTGCTAGTGGCAGACTCTAAACTGCCGATTATTTCAGGCGTTGGTTTTTCTTCTTTGACCTCGGATATCTTGGATGTCTGTTCGACCTGGGACGTCACACTCGATACGACTTCACTGCTTGCGGACGTGATTTTATTTGCATCGGATTTCTTCTTTTCATTATATTTCGGCTGCTTTATCTGCGGTTTTGTCACTTTAACATCCGGCTTTTCCAATTCGTTCTGCAGCTCATTTTTAACTTGCTCGATATAAGAATCATAAGCCTAAAACATCAAGACATCTCATTTAGTAATAATTAGTGTATTCTACATGTACTTTTTTTAAATAAAACATTACATGAATTTGGCTAATTAAAGATTGCTCTTTTGCGCGAAGACGTTCCCTCTGGCTTTTATGATATTCCTTCCTTAATTTTTCCAACTCGTTCTTCCTCTGCTTCAGCTGGTGTTGAAGAGCGGACACTCTTATTTCCATATCACTCTGTTCGGAAAGTGTGTCTGGGAAAGAAAAGTTTCACGAGAATGTTTATACTGTATTTGTTGTTTTAGAATTTGTTTATTTTTTCATTTATCATGACTAATCATAAACCGAAGCTGAAAATAGATCTGCTTTGTGTTTAGAATTTTGTTAAATTATCATCAATAATTAATGTTTTTAATGTTAAAATATAAAAAAAAAAAACTCGTAAGTACCATTTTGCGATAGTGTTATTGATTCATCAGAACCAGTTGAATATCGCCTTTTCAAAATTGTTACTCTTGGCGACAAAGGTGATTTCAATATCGTCATTGGTTTCCTTTTATATTGAACCCTCGAACTCTAAAATGACCAATAATATAAAAACAAATTAATAAAATAAAAAACTTTAAAAAAAATTACATGTCTGCTTCGGACAGTAACATTTTTCATCGTGTGCTCTGATAATCCTGAAGACATCTCGAAACTATCCGAATATTCGTTTTGGTTGTCAGAATCCATTAAACTATATATATTAAAAAAAAAACAAAAAGAGTTAGAAATATATTAAATATTTAAAAATTAAATAATTTACCAAAGTTGTTTAACGTTTTCTCCTTGGCCTAAGTTTTCAATAGGCATTTCAAGTCCTAATGGTGAAGTGCCTCTGTCGATAGTACCTGTAGAGAAGAATTACAATAGGAATCTTTAAGAAAAAAAATTATCAGTCTTACATGGGAAAGATGCAAAAGTTTGGATAGGTGCGTTAAAAGGCGATCGGGCAATAAGGCTCTCCATTTCTCGTACACGTCGTTCTTCTTGTTCCAACTTTTGCTTCCAAGCAACTATAGCCTCGACGTTCTTTTTCCTTTCTTTCAACAACTCCTCTTTTTCTTTCAACTGCCTACTTTAATATAAAAATAGCGTTAGGAAAGTACTTGATGGACTTTGAACCGATGTAGTACCTGGTTTGCAAAAGGACTAAGTCTGGCGATTCGGCTGCATCGCCTTTCATATTGGAAGATGATATTACTTTAGCAAGCTAAAACAAAACATGTACATTTTAAAATTTAAACCTTGATTAACAAAGATTCAAAATCCTTACATCTTTTTTAAGCTGCGAAGGTACTACTTGCATCAAATCTTCTTTCGTTTTTTTGTTTTTACCCGCTGATTTCTCCAATTTGCGAAGCCTAACACAAAATTGTATTATATTGGAAATAATTAAATTAATAATAGACATTAATAGGTCTGCAATCAGACTGACGAACTCTGCCATTCCTTAATGTATATTTATCTATACTTTTGTTACTTTTTTATTTTTTTATAAAAAAATTGATAAACACCTTTATCTACTAAATGGTCTGCGGGGTGATGAACTAGTATTCTGATCATTTCCAATCATTTTGGCTTCGTTATCCTCATTCTTTTAGTTTTTCAAATGCTTCAGTCACTTATGATGGCAAGAAACTAAAATGTCTGGCAAACCAAAATAGTGACAGATGGACCAAAATGAACAGAGAAAAATCTAACCATAGGATAATAGTTCATTTTGGCATAAATGATAAAAGCAAGAAATAACTAGGAATACAATTTTTAAAATGACTGGTGATTCTTGGACAGAAATGAAAGAGCATGAATTGTGAATGCAATTTTTTTGCAATCTTTACACTTAAAATATTTTTTTCTTTGCCCCTGAGGCACATCGGACCCTCAGACACATTTCTAATATTTTTTTACCTAATATTACTTTTAAAGAAGTTTCATCGAAATCTGTGATCTCACATCCTTAGCCTCTGTAAATCAAAAAATATTAGACATGAGCCCGAGCGTTGTTCCGAGCAGGAAAAAAAAATTCAAAGTAATACGGGGGCAGAGGTGGCTGAGTTGTTAGGCCCACTCATATTTGCCATAGTCCTGAGTCCAAATCTTAGCATAGCCCATGACTTTTTATTGAGAAAAATATGAAAACAAGCTTTCTAATTGTTGCAATAACATTGAATGAAGATAAAAATCCAGACGAGTTATGAATTTTTAAGTGGAACTCTAGACATCTTTGAGAAAAAAATTGCCCCCTGTGAAACCAGCCAAAAATGTCTCTATTTATTGAAAATTCTTATTTAAGGGTTTTAAAGGAGGCTTAAAACAAATCCATTAAAATGAAGGGACCAGTGGAAAAATGATGAGGTTCCATTTTTTCAACATTTGAGATAAATTTAAAGTTTCATGAATACTGGTGAAATAGTTTCTTTTTTGATGTTTGATTCAATAGTTGTAATAACTTTAGAGTTCTTTTTGAGTAATTCTCATGATACAAAAACCATTAAACCCTCATTTCGAACCCAGGAACGAATAAGAAAATACCATGATTACAAACTTTTATTATTAATTTCAAAGATGAGCAGACAAGTGAAACGAAAATTCTGAAATATCTATGGTCGAAATTTTAGATTAATCATTGTAAAAACAAAACTGAAAAAAGTTAAAAAGCTCTAAGCTAAAAAGTTTTACGTTACTCACCGTCTACCTCATAATCAAAATAAACATCATCCTGAGTTTCTGTGGCAGTTCTATCTGTGACCAAATTATTGTAAAACCTGGCAACTTCATTGGTGAGAAACGTCAGGTGTTGCAAGTCATTATATTTTTCTAAATTAATAGGAAGGGGCCCATCGTAGGAGTTACAAAGCTGCTGTTTTAGTGCAGGGTTCTTCCCTTTTTTTGCCTTTGTGGCACCCACAACCCGTGCTTATTATAAGCTCCACAGAATGAAATGAGTGTTGTATATACTCTGGTGTGTAAGAGATATCTTCAAACATCAAATCGTTCTTGTGGGGATGGGACATTTCAGTTTGTACATCGGTACTAAGTAATTCGTCCACGATTTGAAAAATTCCCTCATACGGTCGATAACAGTGAACGGTTAGGGTTTGCATCTGCTCATACCAATCACTCCATCCTTGAGGCATATCTACATAGGATTTTGGATTAATCATGGTTATATTAACGCACTCCAGATAGGCCACGGATGGGAAAGAAAACTTTTCACAATATATTCTCCCTTTTTCTGTTGCGAGATGGTGAAGGAATCGCAGAACTGTATAATTTTTATTTTGCCCTGCACGAGTCATAAAAAATTATAAGCGTTCTGACTGCTGTGGAAGAATTTTTAAATGCCGGGGAGATGGATCCTCATCGTTCTTCCTTAGGCGCACAGGAGTCCCATCGTTCTTCCACTGTGCCACCCATTTTCACACGCGATTTTTAGTGGAATCTAATTGGTTTTCCCTAGCCACATTTGGCAAGTTAATAGTTAATGTCACAAGCCAGCAGATGCCGGTGAAATCTCAATTCTGACAAAAAAAATGGACCCTCATCGTTTTTCCACTGTGCCCTTATTTATTTTTTCAACAAAAAATGATTTGGGGGCCTATTTTACTGGAAACGTTTTTTTGTTTTTGCAACTTTTTATGTATCCCACCTTATTTAATACGATCCTGCATATTATTTTCTTTTTCCTACATTAAAAAAATCAATTTAATATAATAACCTAAAAATACATGCACAAAAGACAAAATCCCCCCCCAAAAAAAAACAAAAAAAAAAATAAAACAATTAGTAGAGAAGGCAAGAAAGCTCTGACACAAGTTACATCAATTTTTCAACCTAGTATCACCAAAGAAAGGTTAAAATTGGTGATCCTTGTAATTATGACTGATGACTTACATATTTTTTAAATAAACGTCCATTATTAATAATTTTTTTTTACCTAAATATTTCTTTGAGATCTTCATACAGTTTTAACATCAAAGCTCTTTCCTTCTTCTTTAAAATACTTGCTTCCGAATCTTTCCCCTTTCCTATTAATTTTCTGTTGAACATAATTTATTGTTATTTATAAGCTTTTTTTTTTAAATCGACTGTTGATTATTGAATCTTACAATCTCCTAGATTCCATTTCCTCTATACACGCTTTAGCCTTTTTAATCAGAGAGGTTTCATACGAATTTAACGATCTGTAATTTTGCTCTGCTGTTCTTGAGTCATTAGGTTCATCAAACTGAAAATTAAAAAAAAAAATTAAAAAATATATATATGATTATTGAAAAGATTTTTTTTAAAGATTTCAACTGTCGATATTAATGCCTCACTCCTGCTAAAGGTAGGATTATCATTGTGGGAAAGATCTCTGTAGCAAATGTTTTAAATTTTGCTGAATATTATAAAGCCGAGAGGAAAAGCCATCCAAATATCTTACTCATAAAAAAATATTTTTTATTGATAATACTTACATGGCATTTAAAAATACTCTAGTTTTTCAATTTTTACAGATTTTCTATCTACACAACTTCTACTTGCGCATTTCTACATGTGCAATGCTGAAAAAATTGTATTTTAAGTATGACAGTGTGAAAAAGTGTTTTCTTTCAATAAAACTGTACCTGAGGTTTTTAAACTTATACGTGTTTGTATATCAAATAATCAAAAGTGTTGATAAAATCAAATATTTAAAAAAACTTATAAATTAATTATAAATGATAAGCAATAATACTTGTTAAGATATATAGTGAAAATGTCCTTTAAAAAAACCAGTAATATAAAAAATTAATAAATAGAAGGAATGAATGTTATTTATTGAAATTGATTTCCTAAAATGACTGATGACGTTGTGTGCAGGAAATTGAGTGTATATGCCAAGGACTGAGGGCAAATGAGGAATAAGGGCGAAATATTAAAATAAAGGGACACTTGACATTTCTCTCAATGGATGGCTTATCTCTTCGATGAGCATTTAAAATGTCGAGAGCACTAAAGTTTTCTGAACGTTATATACATTACCTACAATCAAAAATATTTTATTGGTCATTTTTAAAATCGGATATCAATGAGATGGTTCGATAGGTGCAAAGAGCATTTATCATTTACAATATATTTGACATACCACCTGGGAGGTTATTTTGGCGATCTTCATTTCAAGAGGTCTCTCTTCGTATGTGTTCGGCGAATACGTTTCAATGCTCGTAACTGGAAACGTAATACAGCGTAAGAAATTTTTCTAAATGACATTTTATTTCGTACTCACAAGTGATATTTTTATCGATTGATGAGCCTTCTTCAAAATCAAAAGGCGGATCATGAATTGAGCTTCGTAAACTTGTTACTTCCATTATTTCACTTATACCATCAGCCTCCGCCTTAGCCTGTAAAACATAATGTTAAAAAAATCTAACTCATGTTCAAACCATTTATATGTTTTAAGGCATAAATTTTTTTTTGTCAAAGTTATACTACATTTGATGATTATTATTTATGATTACTGCGTGTTGACTGCAATTCTATTCTAAAATTGTTCCATTTCTACTAATTTTATACAATCCCAATCCTACTGGTAGGTCAAATTCTTGCTATATAAATGAATAAAAAGACCGTACTATTTCTACTTAACTATAACATCCTGATAGATCAATTAATCCATGATAACAATTTTACTTTAATAAATAAGTCCTTTAAAATTTTAATAAGTCTGGATAAAAGCATACTTATTATTGAAAATCATTTGAATAATACAGCCTCAATTTCAAATGAATTGTGGCCTTTCACTAATGGTGTTCATAAAATGAGTGTTTTTATTGTTTATTGAGAGAGAGAGAAAAAAAATGTCTTGTAAAAATTGCAAATAAAATTTGAAAGCTCATTTTGATCAAAAAATTGAGTGTGTCGAATGGGATTTATTTACAGTACTGCATAATAGAAAATAAGGTTCTTTGTTAGCCATAAAAGGACAATGGAAAGATATACCTGGTAAAAGCCAACTTGTTAAATCAATACTTGGTTTCTTAGAAACAAGTTCAAGATTAATGAAAAATCTTTAACTTACTTTAACTGATTGACTAGTGACTCGATGGACTTCATTATTGATCACTGTATTTCCTCTCGTAAGGGTTCTTGAAAGTTGGACCATTTCAGAGACGCTGTCACTGGAATTGTCGCTGAAAATGCTTTCAGAATAGACTTTCTGAATGATCTTTTCCCTAGCTTTTGCCGCTTTTTCTGCCGTCATAATGACAGGGAGAGTCGTGTTGACATCCCGGGACGAGCCTGCTGCAGATTCTTGGGCTATCATAACCGGCGTCTGTGTGACAATGGCCGTCGGTATCGGCGCTGCGTGAGCTGCAGTGCCAGAACTTCCTGCCATGTACACCGGAGTGGTACCATAACTGCCTGACATCGACTGGTACATAGCCGGTACATAACCGGCCATTTGGGAATAACTGTACATGTCCTGTTGGTTCGCCGAGCACACAGCTATATTTGCATTATTCATCGAGTAAGCCCCTACATTCTGAGGATACACATATTGTCCAGCAGGTACATTTCCATAAGGTGACATGTTAATCATATATTTTGAATAATTTACTCCTGTTGATGAGTAGTCGTTACGAACAGGATAAAAATCATGATGATTAGAACAATACCCGATATGCATATGACTTTTATTTGTCTCGTCATTTGCCATTCCTGCCATGCAAGAGTAATTTCCGTGAAATGTGGAAAACCCTTGATTATTGGTGTTCATATTGTTTCCAGACTGGTTGCTTGAATATTCTGACAAAGTGGCATAATTTTCAGACTGTGCTGAACAAATAGTCTCAATGACGTTGTTATCTTTTTCATTAGGGTCTTGTTTGATCTCTTCATTTACTGAAGTCGTCGAAGTCCCTTTCTGCTTACTTGAATGCTTTGACAGCTCATCGGGTTTACTAGGAAATTCCTCTGACGAGGCTCGCACGAGAACATTTTTCTTGGACGTCCTCTCCTTTTTATGATGAGTGGACTTCTTCTTTTCGCACTTTGTAGGACTTGCCTTAGAGTCGCAATCTTTAGACGCCTTCTGCTGGATCTCGTCAGTTTCCCCATCGTCCTTTTGAGGGATAGTCTCTCCAGTTATCAATTTCTGATATCTAAGGTTGAGACACTCCAACGAGTCACTTAATTTCAGAGGAGTAACTAACGCAAGTGAAGTATCGCTTTTAGAAATCTGCGGTTTAATGATATCCGCCTCTGGAACCATCTGTTGCTTTTTCGCCCTAGTTGCTGACTTACTTTTTCCTTTTTTTGCATGCGTACTTTGCTTTTCTGGCATAGATGCAATTAAGCTGTACTTGTTTATTTTATCTGCGCTTAGATTCACCAGCTCCTTACCAATTTTATTAGGACTTGTCAACTCCTTAACATTGTATGTAGCATCACAAAAATTCAACTGAGGCAACGAATTGATGAAGTTCTCAGTCGTCGTAGCTAATTTTGAAGTCCTGTCTGTCAACTGTGGAATGCTGGCCATATCAAGGGCAAAATTGTGAACATTCAAGTCCTGGACGTTCTGTTGCATTTGCACTGAATCCCGCTCCTTACGATCTTCACCGTCCAACAATTGCAATTTCCTTTTAAACGTATTGATGAGGTTAAAAGGATCCGGATCTTCGGATAAATCTTTCAACCAAAATGGAGTTCTGGGCCTGTCTAAGTTTTCATTCTGCAATAAAAATAATTGATTCATATAGCAATAAAAACCATTCAAATTTTAATGTCAGTCTTTTAATTGTTAATATTATTTTAAAAAACAAAACACCGAATTTTTAAAAGCCTAAATCTACTAATTTATCTAATGTTGTGCAAGTTATATAAAAATTATAAATATTAATTTAAATTTATTTTTAATTGTATCGGTTGACTAGATTATATCTGCACTTCATCGGAGATGATCACTTTCTACGGGTTTATCACCACCTGCAGACCCATTACAGTTTACACTAAATCTCTGTTATATTTAATCATTGTACAGTGTCAGCAATAATATTTGCATCTACTAATAATAAAAATGCTAGTTAAAAAATATATTATTGAGTTGTTTTCAGGCCTAAATTATCAAAAGCAGTAGGTTATTTTGTAAATAAAATTCAAAAATGTTCGATTTTTCTTTCTTTTTATAACAATTCTGTCATAAGATCAAATTCCATGACAATGAAAAAACAGGGCAAAAACAATATGAATTGTATTTACCAAACGGTCTACACCTTCCGAAAATTTAGGCCAAAAAACAGCACAATTTGAAAATGTACATAATGGAAAATAAATTAAAAAAAATAAAATCTATTCTAAACATTCTTTTGTATGGAGCACTAAACTGAATACATTTTTGAAAATTTCAAATTCAAAATTTAGTTACTCATGAAAGCCAAGCTTCCATCCAAATTATCTGCCGAACAAGTTATGCGATAATTTTTTTATGAATCATAAATGCACAATTTCTCAATTTTGGAAAAATATTTGCATTTTTTCTTTATATCAAGAACAACAAAAAAATCCAATATTTGATGTGAAATTAAAATTTAACTAGAAATCATCTATTTTATAAATTTTACAGCCATTTAAATTTAATGGTTTAAATTAAACGTATTTCAATAATTATATTGTACAATTATATGAATAGATGGGGTGAATACATTTCTTTGACTTCATTTATAAGATTTTTGGTTGATTCCTTTGATTTTTTTTATATTCTTAAATCGTTACTAATCTTCAACTGGTATGATGAATATGGTAAATACTTTAATTACAAAAAAAATAACAATTGCATTAATTTCAATAAATGTATTGAATTTAGACATGCTAGTCACTGGGATAGGCGTTCTTTCATTAGATATACGAAGAACTGATTGCAACGTGAAGAAGATATTGAGTTCACATTTAATTCCATTTCTTGGCTTTATAATTGTTAATTCATGAAGCTGAAAAAATAACTTTACATTATTAATTAGACACAAAGATTAATTTGACAAGTTTTGAATAATTTCAGAATTAGAATAGAAGACCGTTTGCTAATAATTAATAATGTAAACACTAAAATTTCAACAACACTTCATGAAGAGAGAAAAAAGAAATCATCGTAGAAAATAACAACCAATTTCGTACATGTAACAAAAGCAAAATTCCTTCTCGTTTAGATTCCAAATGCCAGCGAAATAAGAGGATAAAATAAAAATTTTCTTACCAAAGGGCTCTCCCAAGGGACAGCTTCTAAAAATTTTGTCATCGGAAGTTTCAAGGAAGCCTTCGAATCCTCAGTGTAATTTAATCTTAAACGTTTTTCTCCTTTCAAAGCTTGATCGACATTTTTTAGTGGATCTAAAACAAATAATAGAAAAAATTTAGTTGAAATATTTTTGTAAACTTATTTAATAATTTATTACAATCTGTAATTTCTAATTAAAACATGTAATTTGCGGATGTATGTATGTACAACTATTTACATATTTACAATGAGGGGAGCAAATAATATTATTCTCCAATTTCACTAATGAATAAGAAAAAACACAATTAAAAGAGGGTGCCAGCGTCAATGGGCCAGATCGACAGAGAAGCTCTTGCGTATCAAGAGCACTGTCAATGGGTAGCCCTCATAGAAATGGACTCATAGAAGAAGGATCATCCTCACTCCATTAAGAATAGGCCATGTTAGGTTGACACATGCCAAAGCCTGCATGAGGTTGCTTGATGTGTTCCACCTAATTGAAGGATCAATTCCTTGGCTCCATACAGAGCTCGCAGTAATGCCAGCCGATTTGAAAATTGTGCTTGAGCACAGCAGCGAATATTTTGGTCCCCTGTCCCGGTTCTTGGAGGAAATGTGGTCGTTCTATTGTATATAGTGACAATAGTTTGTATGCCTAGCTTGTGTTGAGAGTGAATGTATTTATTAGCTAGAATGCACTCATTGACCCTCAATTAGGTTAGTTTAAAATATATGTAAAGGGTGATGGAGGAAAATCAAACACTCCACCATCCTAATTGAACAAGTGATATGTAAACAGGAGTGAATGTATGTAAGAATGAGCGTGAGTACAAATGGGTTTGGAACTGCATGTGTTGAGTGCTGAATTGACCTAGCTGTTGATAGCACCTGGAGCCCAACCTCAGTGGCTGGACGGATAAGACTGAGGTCTGCCCCTGGACTGCCGACACCTCAAGTCGGCCAGCAGTTTTCTGTAAATAGTAAAAGCTGGAATTGCTAGACTATGAGAAGCAAAAAAGCTCAACTTGGCACATGTTTGTATGATTTGAGCCTGTATATGTAAATCCAAATCCATCAATGAAACTTCACTACCAACTCATCAGAAAGGAGGTCGTGGTTTCATCTCCTCTTGAGACGCCTTATAAGATTGAAGGCTATTGGACAAGTCTAGGCTAGACTATTTAGGCGACAAGAGAGTTTATTATAGAATTTGATTAATTTTGGGTAAATGGAATTTTAATGTGGTTGAGGAGGATACCATTTGAGACATAATTGGATATCTGAGGATTTTAGATTAAAAGATTGGAGATGTTGGATATCAGAAGGTTAGTAGTTACCCACAATTCTATATCAGATATTTGTTCCGAAATGTAAATGTGATATGGATACACATACTTTCATTTTTTAATTGCCAACACCAATCTGTTATACATGCAATGTCTCTGAAGCAACCTCAGGATCGGGGTCAGAGGATAGAAAAAGATGCAAGGAGGCTTGGTGTAATGGAAACATCAGCATTATAAATGATATAGAGGATTGGTCCTATCATACTGTCCTGTGGTATTCCCGCGGCCTAGAGCAGTATTCGGAGTAGAGAAAAAGATCGAATTTTGTATAAAATAAAACTGAAATGTAGATAATTGATGTGATAGAACCTTCACAACTCTAGGGCAATAATACAACAAACATTAATAAATACGCCACTGCTCTACCACTTGAGCTATCGTGACTTTGATCCACTCGGACAACAACTTCTCATCTCAACCCACCCATCGAATTTCCCCTCCTTTTTGCCATTTTTCAAAATTCAAAGGGTGGGTTGATTTTTTTTTCTCACAATTATGGGGCAATAATACAACAAACATTAATAAATAATCCACTGCTCTACCACTTGAGCTATCGTGACTTTGATCCACTTGCACACCAACTTCCCATCTCAACCCGCCCATCGAATTTCCCCTCCTTTTTGCCATTTTTCAACATTCGAAGGGTGGGTTGATTTTTTTTTTTTTTTTTTTTTTTTGTAACAAGGGTTTGCAACAGCAGGGTTATATAAACCCTCAGGGTGCTGGTAATTTTTGAAGAAAAAAAAAAGCCCATTTGTAAGTATGTCGGTTTCGAATGCAGGGCCTCTGGATTTGAACCCGGGACCTTTACCTATAGTGATGGTCTAGCACTGCGTCGCCTAAATCGTCGTAGCCACTGACGCCCCCAAAGGGTGGGTTGAGATGGGAAGATGGTGCCCGAGTGGAATGAAGTCACGATAGCTCAAGTGGTAGAGCAGCGGCTTAAAAAGGATGTGGGCTCAAATCGTGACACTGGCTTTTTTATTTCAACCAATACCTTACACAAAGATTAATTAATTGAAAGAAGCTATTTGGTCAATCGGACCACAAACTTCCAAAAAAATAAGACAAATTAATCTTTTCAGTACTTGTGTAGTATCTTGTTCAAACTTATATGCTCCTCACATGCCTTGTGACAAGTTATTTCATTTTCGTATTACTATTATTATTTTGCATTTTACAAGCTCTGTTGCATCTTTGGGCTGAATGCAATGTTTAGCAGACACCTCGGTAGTCTACAGGCAACTGCCCCATCCTTTCTTTTCTGTCCTTATCACCAACGAACCACTTTTTTCTGTTCACAATTGGCTTCTCTCTCAAATTGTTGTGAAATTGCGGGTTTTCTAGAAAACCATTTGGCCACGACGTATTTACATCTCTTTGGGAATGTCCTACTTTCGCCTACATCCGACCCCTAGGGCTTTCCGACCCTCTACACTATAATCTGAGTTTTAGCTTCTTGTCTGCCCAGTGCATATTTATTTTTTATATATTTTTCTTTTTTTCTTTCAACTCTTGAACTAAATAAATCAGTAATCAGTATTTATTTTATTTTTAGATTATTGTTTTTTAAAATACATAATGACTACTTTTTGAAAAAAAATAAATTTCTAATTAAATAAAACTTGGTTTTTCTCCTTCCATTTACTTATGTCGTTGAAATATGTAATATTCAGGAAAGTACTGTCAAATTTTCAACAGAATCAGCACACTTTCATATTCACTTTGAATTTTGATGCGATGCAAAATAAATCAGGGGTCAAGTAATGGCCAAGAATATAGGCTGGGGAATACATTTTAGCATCCTAAAAATCCCGAAAAGGTATCCACAATTTACACGCAAGCTAAGCTGTATTTCATTTCATACAATTCTTTCAATTTAATATTACTATCCAACATAGAAAGATTAGAAAGTAACTTATAACTATCAACAATTTTTATTAAAAGGACTGGGGGCACCAATGGTTTAGGCGTTGAACACGGCATTCATCAATGTAAGGTAAAGGTCCCGGGTTTGAACCCAACGGCCCTGCATTTGAACCCGACATACATACAAATGGGCTTTTTTTCCAAACATCGGCACCCAAGGGTTCAAATAACCTTGTAATTAAAATACCCTCGTTAAAAATATTTAAAAAAAATAAATAAATAAAAAGATTGGGAAACATGAAAACCTTAAATTTTATGGATTTCAGGGATCAAGCTGTTAAGGTGTCCTCTCATATTTACCACACTTGCGCTTCTAGACTTTATTTCCAATATAACTGTTGGGCGTTTGGACTGAATAATTTGGGAAAAAAGTATTGTAAAATTATCTAGCAAGTTCTCCTCTTACTTTACTTTTTTACTAGTATCAATTTGAATCAAAAAATTAAAAGGACAATCTCAGAAGGACTAGAAATTATTAAATTTTAGAATTTGTACAATTATACAATAAATTACAATGTTATTTGAATTGTTAACTCTGTTAATTTACACGATGGATGGATTTTCATTGTTATAGGTAAACACTAGATTTATTAACGTTTTCACCCTTTTTAATCAGAAAATAACACTATGGGTATTATAAAACCAATAGCCGACTTCTGACAAAACTTTACCTTCTTCCATAAAGAAATATTTTTCTAGAATCCTTCTATAATTGGAAGAGACAATGATTCTCTTAAGACAATATGCGGATTGGAAAAACTACCTGAATTAAAGGAAACATGTCAAAGAAGTCAAATAATTGTTGAAGACATGATACGAACTTACCGAGTGGAGAAAGCGAATTGCTCTTGATGCGTTTTTGATTTCCGTTGGTGAGTATCTGTGAAGAGTTCTGTTCGGATTGAACAGTCGGGAAATTCTTACTATAATCGATGTATGTGTAATTGACGAAGCTTGTATCTGAGCTTTTAAGAGCGGATTCAGATTTGCAAGTTTTGAGAGAAGAGATCTCGTCACTTGTACTCAAAAGGAAATTATCGGGGTGCACAGGATCCTCGGCATATTTGTAATCCCCTTTATTCGGGATATCCACGGGTCTGTTTCTTCTGATGATCTCCGTGTTCTGTCTGATGATTCTCTGGGTGTTGTTGGGATTGTTGTAGTCCATGAATAGCTGCCTCTTGTTCCTGACGTTTGGAGATACGACTGCCGGGACTTTGTGGAGGCCCATGGCCGCCGCGAAAGTGACCGTCCCAGGCCCTCGACTCCTCCGATTCATTGGAATTTTGATTTCTTTCTTTTCTTTAGGAACAACCTCCAACGGTCCTATCCACTGGGGCTTATCCTATTGATTAACAGAAATAAATTAAGTTATTGTAAGATTGGATCATTTTGTTTTAAATACCTGGATAACGCGTCGTTTGCATGTTTGCAAAATTTTTCTCTGTGTTTCTTTAAGTTCAAGAAGCTTTTTTTTTCTTTCTTCACTTTCCAAGGCTTTTCTCTTCTTTTCTTCATTACTTCTTTCTTCCCTTTCTTTTTTCTTTTGCTTGATAAAGTTCCTTGTTACTTTTAAATCGTACTTCTTTTGTTTGGGCGTGTTAGCCTTTAACACATTTTCCTTTTCTGGTGTAACTGAAGTAGAAAAACAATAACTTTTGATTATAAAAGTTTTTTTCTAATATTGATTTTAAAATTTTTCTTTAAACAAATTTAAGTTACCTTTTTTAGTTGATATTCCAAGACTTGATTTTCCTTTTTTGGGCGTCTTCTTTACCGGCTCAGGTTGATGTGCCGTTTCACATCTTTTTGGAAGTTTTTTGGTCTGTTCTACTAACTCGGAAACTTTTTTAATTTCCTGGTTTAATTTAGTTATAAGACTGTTAGTAGAATCATCCAAACTTGGGATCAATTTTGGTTGGTCAGTTTCTACCTTTGAAATAATGTTTACCGGATTTATTTCAAATTTTTTCACATCACTCACCAACTGGGCTTTTTTTACTGGTGGCTAAAAAGTAATGATTATTGGTTAAATTTGTTCATAGGTGTAAACAATTAAATAATATTTACATCATTTGTCAACCGCACAGATGTGTCGACTAATTTAGTCTTTTTCGGATTCTTTTCTTTATTAGGCCTGCTGGTGGCTATAACAAGAGACATTTGTAAGTTTTTCAGTACAGTGGATACGAGAAGGGAAAAAAGAAAATTACTCTGGTTCGGTTCTTCAATTTTAAGCACTTTAACAAGTTTGCCATCCTCAGAAATATACTCCTTGTCCGGCTTAGTTACAGGCTCAAATGTGGTAGCAGTGACAGGAGATGGGTGTAATTTCAAATGGGGTACATTGCAAAACCCAAAACTTGATCCTGTCGGTGTTATTATACTCTTTTTAGGAGGAGCTGAAATAAAGAATTAATTAAGAAAAAAAATCAATTGTAATGGAGTCTTAAAAAATATGTCTCTTTACTTTAAAACTTAGTGCTTATAGTACTAATAACAAAGTCGTAATAAAAAGGCTATAATTTATCCAATTTTATTTATCTAATCTATAATTTTAGCATCTAATTATATCATTTTACTTTTTACTGTACTCATATGTTGTAACAAGAATTATATCCAAAAAATTAAAAATTCACTACACTTCAACCCTCTTTTGCTCTTCAACCTACCTATTTGCATAACAAAACGCATTTTTTATTGATGCGATATTAAATAAATCACTAATCATTTATTATCACTTGGTATAAAATTATGTTCTAACATATTTCAGCCCAGGTGATGTCAAAATTAGAAAGTAACTTTCTCCCCATGGTCTTGTATAAAAATTCAATTCATGCCAAAATTGAGAATTAACCTCAGGTGATTTGATTAATTATGATCAATACTCATAATAAATATTTAAAATTAAAGGAAGGAATATTGAAGTTATTTATAACAATGTGTTTTGACATCATAAATAAATCCATAAATAATTCCAATCTCATTTTCATTTATTACACTTTGAAATTCTACTGGATGAAAACAGTAACAAATATATATTTTGGAGGGATAACATTACTGGAATTTATAAATAAAAAGCCCATTGATATTGTGCATAGAAACTACTGTTGTAAAACAGAAAGGGGGAAGAGAAGAGAAGAAAAGAAGAGAAAGAAGGTAGTCCGTACAGATCCTGTAAAATACCGCGGATCGATAATAGTAAAAAGAACAACACCGTTTATACAGCCAGCTGAGTGTAAAAAAATATATGGGTAATTACAGATTTTCAAAATTTTTGTATTGCTCTTCGCCTCGGAGACATCGCTTTGGCACTTTTCCCTCAGTGCTACAAGCTCTAAGAGCTTGGTTCTTAACACTTGAGCAGCCACTTTTCAAATATAATCGTTCAACGAGTATCTTGCAAAATAACATCAAGCCCTTTCTCTACATTTACTACAGAATTTAAAACTTAAAAATATGAATAACAACAGGTTTGTGCTTTGAACATAATTTGGAACTAAGAGAAAAGAGGAACCATTTGATTGGTATTTGTTTTTGCTTGGCAAATGTTAAAGCGATCAAGACTTTATTGTTGAAAAAGCCTACAATTAAAATAAATTCATTAAAAAAAGGAATTATGATATTAAGTATTTTTAATTATTTAAATTACAATTATTTATATTTCTTAATCATTTTTTTTAATAAGTTAACTGTGTATTGATCATTTTGTGATAATTTAATTAGAAAACAAAGCTGGCAGTGGTGGATGGCAGACAAATGAATATCTCTAAGATTCTCTCTCCCTCTACATTTTTATGCAGCATAAAAATAAGTTCTTTTTGTTAATTTCAATGTTTAACATAATAAGTAAACATAATAAACAATACAAAAAGTTAATTTCCTACTTAAAACAATTTTAACAGAGTTACTAAATGATACAGGAGAATTTAAAAAAAAATAAGTTGTTGAAAACTGAATTTTAAATAAGCAAAATTCATTTTTCTCAGCTGTTTTTTAATTAAATTAAAAACAATAATAGAAGATAGAAACGAAAATAACTTTGTGCTAAGAATTACAACACTGGAAGTATTACCCTATGATACAGTGCCGACATATAATATTACATAATTAAAAAATTAAACAACAAATATCATAAGCGAATAGCCTGTAAATACAATTTTAAACAATATATATACATATTTGTACTTTGGTCATTACCAAATATTGTGGACTATCTTTGGTGTGATGGTTCAAATTTCAGCATTTCACCATCTTCAGTGTTGGATTTGTGGGTGTGACAGATCAATGAGGTAAATATAGAAAGACCACTGTGCTCAGTAATGACAAAATTACAGGTTCATCACCCCGTAGTTAATTTTTTTTTCTTTGTGGGTGTAATAAATTTAAAAAAAAATCTCCTGACCACTTCAACACTTTCTGAAGGTATCGAAAAAAAAGTTTTATCTTTCTTTATTATCGTTGACTCTAACTGCTCAATCTGGTTATACAACAATTGTTGACAATTAATAAAACAACACTCAGATACTGAACACGGTAAAATGTCTATTTTTTGCTTTTTTTGGTCAACCAGATGCGTTTCAGCATTTTGCCATCTTCAGTGTTGGGTTTGTGTATAACAGAGAAACAGCAAAGATAGAAAGGCCACAGTGCTTAGTAATGATCAAATTACAGGTTCATTACCCTGTAGTTAATGTTTTTAATGTAATAAATTGAAAAAAAAAATCTGACCATTTCACACATCCTGAGGGTACTGAAAAAATAAGTTTTAACTTCCCTTATTGTCGTTGACTCTAATTGTATGACAATTGATGACAATAAAACAACACTCAGACCCTGAAGATGGCAAAAGGTCTATCCTCGCAGTGTTGTTCTGCCAGACGTGTTTCAGCATTTTGCCATCCTCAGTGTTGGATCCGGGTGAATATGCTTCAGACAGACAAAACTAGCAAGGATAGGCAGACCAGGATGATCGAAAATGACCAAGCTAAAATCTCACATTACTAGGAACATTAATCAGAATATTACTTTTTAATTTCTTTTTACATCCAGGGCTGGGTGAAAAACTGTTGAATTTTAAAAACTAAAAAAATCAGCCTGGAGATTTTTGAAAATATTATTAAATTGCAAATGCAGAAGTATTCTAGCTACTACCACCTTGAAGCTAAACAGTACTCTTTATGCATTTTACAGTTCAGTTTTGTTATGTACTTTCCACAGCTGGGAAATTAACTGGTAATAATATTATTAAATTAATTAATAAACCAGAAAAGCTTTGCATTCCAGTTTAAGGCATCATGTTCATGGGTAGCCCTTGACGCTCTGCTTTATATGTTACACTTGTACCATCCACTCTTTTTTAGCTCTTCTGTTGGCAATTTGACATTCAATGCTGCGTTTTAATTGTAAGCTGAATTTAAGAAGTTTATACTGGTAGATTATCTCTTGGGATCTGTGAGGTGTTAAACCTGCAGTGATTCATTTTTAATCTTTCTGGTTAAATTATTTTCATAATTTGCATTAGTCACCAAAAACAAAGTAATCACTGAACATGACAAGAAACCAAAACATGTCTGATAGACCAATGATCTGAAATAAAGTCAAGCTCTATATGGACAAAACCAGAAAATTGCCAATAACAGCTTTGAGATTTTTAAAAAATATTTAATGCCAATGCAAGAGTATGATTCTAGCTCCTAACAGCCCTGAAGAGGACCAATGACTTTTTTCTTTTGTTTTTAGTTTTTAATGTTCCGATGGGGGAGTCGAGGTGTGGTTCGAAATGCATTTACATAAACAAAAAACCCACACGCCAGCAAGTAGCAAGTAAAATAGTGCGGCTTTTAACTTTCTCGTAGATACAGGGGTACCACATGTATCTTAGGACCACACTCTAGATGGTATATACCACAAACATTCCTATTCTTCCTGAAATTATCTTTACCAGCTATCAGATGATACCGCCATCCTTTGCTGTCATAAAGATCCTGTCATCTCAACCAGAAACCTGGCAAATACACATCATACCCCTTGAGATGAGGTTCAAGCTGTGGAAGATGACAATAAACATGCAAAAATGTCACTTTTCACAACAATCCAGTTACACAAACCACCATGTCAGAAAACATTCATCCAAAAAGCTATACAAATAATTTTCTCCGGCCTTGCGACCTCCCAATTGATAGTGAGAATAATTCAACGATATATGCTTATACGAGTGACTAATAATGAGTAGTTCCGTAGTTCCATTTTTTTTCCTATTTTATAGGGGTTGTTCAACTCCTCCATGAGGAATATCGAGTACTCTGGTGTGAGTGTGTGACGTCTGGAAAGTAAGTGTTTCTAAAATCTAGTTCTAAGTTATTAGTGTGAATGGAGTGAGTTGAACCCTGTCCCGAGGAATATCTGGGGGAGTGAATAATACCATAATTTTATTTTATTATTGTATGTTTTGTATCTATTCTGTAGTTGACAACCTGAGGAACTAACGAAAAGCTAGCATTTTAGGATATCGACATTGTAAACCAGATCAAGACACTCAAATGGCTGCAGATGAAAACCAAACACACATAAAGGACAAAACAAAAGAAGAAAACATGCAGAGGGCTGGCAATGAACTCATCTGTTTATTAACCCATAAATCTCCTACTTTATTATTATTATATTAATCCATATGTGCATTTAACAGTCACAATTGACTGTATTAATTATTTTAACGAATTACACTTTTAATCTAAGATTTTGGTTGAGTTGAAAAAGCAAGTGTTACGAGCCGGATTTGAACTTTCGGCTATAAAAAAAGTGAAAAATTTAAAAGGTTGTAGAGATTGCGAAGAGTTGGAGTTTAGGGGGATTGAAGTCACGGCGGCTCAAGTGGTTAGAACAGCGGCGTGGGTCCGAATCCTGCTCGTGACGCTAACTTTTTCATCCAAATCAAGCCTTTAGATAAGAAGTATATTGAATTGAAGCAATTAAATAGGTCAATTATGACCGCTAAACATATATGGATTAATATAATAATTAAAGAAGTAATTACTTCGCTTACAGATCTCCATGGCCACTTCATAAGTCACTGAGAAATGAATCTTGATTACACAACATTTGAAAATAGGGTAAAAAGAGGGAAAAATTGAAAGGTCATAGGTTGAGATGAAGAGTTGGTGTCCAAGGGGATCGAAGTCACGATAGCTCAAGTGGTTAGAACAGCAGCGTATTGAACCGAAGGTCGTGGGTTCAAATCCTGCTCATGACATTAACTTTTTCATCTCAACCAAGACTTTAGATAAGAAGTATATTGAATTGAAGCAATTAAATAGGTCAATTATGTCCGCTAAACATACATGGATTAATATAATAATTAAAGAAGTAATTACTTTGCTAACAGCCCCCCTAGGCCACTTTATAAGTCACTGAGAATTGAATCTTGATTACACGACATTTGAAAATATGGTAAAAAGAGGGAAAACTTGAAAGGTCATAGGTTGAGATGAAGAGTTGGTGTCCAGGGGGATCGGAGTCATGATGACTGAAGTGGTTAGAGCAGCGACGTATTGAGCCGAAGGTTGTGGGTTCAAATCCTGCTCATGACATTAACTTTTTCACCTCAACCGAGGCTTTAGATAAGAAGTATATTGAATTGAAGCAATTAAATAGGCCAATTATGACCGCTAAACATATATTGATTAATATAATAATTAAAGAAGTAATTACTTCACTAACAGATCCCCATGGCCACTTTATAAGTCACTGAGAATTGAATCTTGATTACACGACATTTGAAAATTACCCTATTTTATAGGGTAAAAAGACGGAAAACTTGAAAGGTCATAGGTTGAGATGAAGAGTTGGTGTCCAGGGGGATCGAAGTCACGATGGCTCAAGTGGTTAGAGCAGCAGCGTATTGAACCGAAGGTCGTGGGTTCAAATCCTGCTCATGACATTAACTTTTTCATCTCAACTAAAAACCTTAATTAATTGTCTTGATTACACATTTGAAAATAGGGTAAAAAGAGGGAAAACTTGAGCTATCATGACTTCGATCCACTCGGACAATGAAAAAATGGGAAAAAGGGGGAAAATTCGTAGGGTAGGTTGAGATGAAGAGTTGGTGTCCAGGGGGATTAAAGTCACAATGGCCCAAGTGGTTAGAGCAGCGACATATTGAGCCGAAGGTCGTGGGTTCAAATCCTGCTCACGACTCTAACTTTTTCATCTCAACCAAGATCTTAGATTAAAAGTATAATTAATTAAAATTTAATATTCTGTTTTATGTATATTTTTGAGACATTTTTCTAAGTTGTTACCATATTTACTTAAGCGCAAGAACTGACACAGTAAATAAAGGAAAAAGAAAGACTACAACCTCAACCTGATAGCTAGTGAACAATACTAGGCGAGTTTACTTGCAGCTAAGGAATTTGTCATCTAGTAAGTAGTAATCAAGACTTAACCATTATTTAGAAATTGTGCGATATTTTAGTGTTGATGGGTTGGTGAACTAACGCTGAACCAGCATTGGGTTACTTGTCGGGTCAGTCTTTACTTGCAGGTTGTTTTATTGTTCAAACGAGTTCTGGCATTGCACCATCTTCAGTGATTGTCAAGGTAAGAAGTGAAGACCCAATAAGCGATCCTATGCCGGTTCAGCACTTGTCGAAAGCGAAAGAAGAATGGAAACAAATGTCATACGTTTGTTCGATGTCAGGTCACCGGATGCCTTGACCGACTTGTCATCGGTGAAGATCTCCTGGCAAAAGAGCCTCGGCCTGTCCTGGATCTGGCTCTTCCTCGGAGACAGATTGTTAAACTTGTCGGTGACATCTTTGATGGAGTCTCTCTGTCCCGATGACCTCCTATGTCCGAAAGACCTCGAGTTTTCGATCCACTTCCTCTGGGCCTCTTTGATGCCGACAAGCTGTTCGAAAATTGCGTTCTCGTGTATTTCGGAGAGAGTCCGGACTGGGAGGGTCTTCTCGTCCTCATGAGATTCACCTTCGGCCGCGTTGCCCTGTGGCCAGTGGACTGCAGTCCTCTCCTGGGACGGGCATCTCCCCGAGTGCAGCCCGTCCGCGTTGATCTGTCCGTTTTTCACCCGTTTGTCCTCACGTTCCATACTTGAATTTAAAGTTAACTAGGGATGTGTAAGTAAAAATGTGTGTCCGGCCTTCTAATTTAAATAAACATAAACACATTGCAATATTGTAGTCTTGTTTTTTTGTTTTGTTTTTTTGCTCGAACGCCTGGTTAAATTAAAAATTAGACATCAGTGCATATTTTGTTTAAAAAACACTCATTCTCGGTCCAACGGACTTAGTTTCAACTATAGGACACATCTGACAGTCCTTAAACGATGAACTTGTAACTGTAACTTCAGTTCCACCACCAAAGCCAAACATGTAAACCCTGCGCCGTTAACTTCAAAGTCAAACTTCGCGGGAGGTTGCAAATTTTGCAGCCAACGGTCCACAAATTTCTCTTTTCTTCACTTTGCCACACATTTTACTATTTTTCTCATTTTCCCCCTTGAATTTAGAAGACCTCTCACATTAATTGTATTTGTAAAAACAAACGAAAATCTAATATTGAAAATTACTCTGGAATAAACTTTTCTCTATACCTCAACTATTTGAAAACCTAGTTCATGAATAATTCCAAATTCTTCAAAACTTAACATTTCTCAACAGCATGGATTTACCATCATTTATCCATTTATACATTTAGTATAATTAGTAGTGATTTATATTGAAAGCCTAGTTCATGAATATATTTCCCAACTCTTCAGAAACATCATCACCCAACAGCATGGATTTACCATCAATACCCGTCATTTACCCATTTATGCTTGAAGTATAATTATTAGTCGTTTATATCTTAAATATATAAAATAATGTATAAAATAATTATAAATTTTATAATTGTAGATTTTATTCAAACAAAAATCCTTATTTATTGACTCTCATGTTCTTATATTCCCTTTTCAATCTGGCTTCTGAAAATTTCGTGGTTGTGAGCCATCCCTTCACAGAATCTCAGATGATATCCTCCACCTAGGAATTAGCAATAAGTGTACTATTATTTATTTACGTTGGTATAGCTAAACTTTCCTCTATTCTAAACTATTTGAAAGCCTAGTTCATAAATGTTTTCCAATTCTTCAAAACCATTAACATCTCTCGACAGCATGGATTTACCATCATTTACCCATTTATACTTGAAGTATAATTAGTAGTCGTTTATTTCTATTATTTTTACGTACATTAAATGTATAAAATAATTATAAATTTTATAATTGTGGATTTTATTTAAACAAATATCCTTATTTATTGACCCTCATGCTCTTACCTACCTTCCTTTTTAATCTGGCTTCTGAAAATTTCATGGTTGTGTCATCCCTTCTCAAAATCTCAGATGATATCCTCCACCTAGGAATTAGCAATAAATGTACAATTATTTATTTACATTGGTATAGCTAAACTTTCCTCTATTCTAAACTATTTGAAAGCCTAGTTCATGAATATATTTCCCAATTCTTCAAAACCATTAACATCTCTTGACAGCATGGATTTACCATCATTTACCAGTTTTTAATTAGTAGTTTATACATTTATAATTGAAGATTTTATTTAAACGAATATGATTCTTATGCGCTCTTATATTCCCTTTTCAATCTGGCTTCTGAAAATTTCATGGTTGTGAGTCATCCCTTCTCAAAATCTCAGATGATATCCTCCACCTAGGAATTAGCAATAAATGTACAATTATTTATTTACTTTGGTATAGCTAAACTTTCCTCTAGTCTAAACTATTTGAAAGCCTAGTTCATGAATATTTCCCAATTATTCACAACCATTAACATCTTTCAACAGCATGGATTTACCATCATTTATTCATTTATACATTTAGTATAATTAGTACTAATTTATATTGAAAGCCTAGTTCGTGAATATATTTCCCAACTCTTCAGAAACATCAACATCGCCCAAAAGCATGGATTTACCATCATTTACCCATTTATACTTGAAGTATAATTAGTAGTCGTTTATATCTTAAATGTATAAAATAATGTACAAAATAATTATAAATTTTATAATTGTAGATTTTATTCAAACAAAAATCCTTATTTATTGACTCTCAGCCTAGTTCATGAATATATTTATACCGCGGTAGCCGAGTGGTTAGCATGATAGACTCTCACGCCGCGGTCGTGGGTTCAATTCCTACCATCGCCTCTGGCCCTTTTTTCCCGATAACCCCCAATTTGAACAACATATATAAGAGATTCATCATGGCTAATATGCAAAGATCATAAGGCCAATTAAAAAATATATAAAATAAATATATATATTTTATATAAATATATAAAAGCATTTAAAAACTATAAACTAGTAGGGTTGTAGGATATGGCTTTTCACAGATTGCACAGAACTATTGATGAAGTCAATGCTATTGCAGATGTCATTAATCTTGATCATTATTTGGTGTAGAGAAGAGAGCATGTAGTGAGAGCTTTGGAATTCAATATAAAATAATTTGTGGGTTTTGAGAGAGTGCGAAGGAACGTGTAGCTGTAGCTGAGAGAGGAGAGAAGGACTATCAATGAGATTGTTTAATAATTTAAATACAAAAACAATAGTGGATTCCAGAGTAGGCAAAATTCAGAGGAAGATTGAGTTTGTAAGAAAGTTTTTAAAAAAAATTTGTTTTGTACAGATTGAAGAATTTTTTGATAATTTAGATAATATAGGTTCCAAACAGGTGTAGCGTATTCTAGTATGGGTTGTACAAAAGTTTTATAAAGATGGACAAAACAGAGGATTTTTAAATTCGTAGGTGTTCGGGATGATGAAACCTATCATCTTCATAGATCTATTTTTTATTAAAGAAATATGTTCTTTAAACTTCAGCTTTTGATCAAAAAATACACCAAGATCCTTTAGGACCTCAACTCGCATTAAAAGAGAATCATGGAGAGTAGTAATAGAGAAAAGGTTGTTTCTTATGAGAGAATGTAATTGTGTAGCATTTGGAGACGTTGAGAGCAGGTTTGTTATTAGAAGACCAGGTTAGCACATTATCGATAGAATTTTGTAATTGAAAGCAAGAAGGAGAAATAATTTTGGAATAGATTTTCAGGTCGTCAGCAAATAATAAAAACTGAGCAGAAGGGAGAGAGTAAGATGGATATCATTAATAAATAAGAGAAACAAAACTGGTCTGAGATGAGACCCGTGTGGGACTCCCGAGGAAGCCTCAAAGGGACACGATTTAAATAATTTTACTTTTACTATTTGTTTTTTGTCAGAGAGAAAACTGGATAACCAATTCAAGAAAGGCCCGGATTTACCATCATTACCCATCTTTTACCCATTTATACATGAAGTATAAATAGTAGTAGTTTATACATTTATAATTGTAGATTTAATTTAAACAAATATCCTTATTTATTGACTCTCATGTTCTTGTATTCACTTTTCAATCCGGCATCAGAAAATTTCATGGTTGTGAGAATTGTTCAAAATTTCCAATGTGAAGTGTCATTTTTAGAATTTCAAAATTTAGATATCCAGTTGGTATCAGATCTCTTCCTACTAACAAGACAGGATTTTAATGTTGTTAAATGTTTTTGGTTTGACCACTCATTAAATATTTCAACTCTGAGAGTAGTTCTCAAAATATACTTCTTTCTTTATCTTCTTCAGCACAGAATTTTTAATTAATGGAACCAAACAAAGATGTAAGATTTTTCTGAAAAAATGTTTAAAACATAAGATAAAAATGCAAACCTCCCATCCACTTTTTTTTTTTTTTTTTTTTTTTTTTTTTTTTTTTTTTTTTTTTTTTTTTTTTTTTACTAAACTGTGGAGATTGTATTCAATAGAAAACGTCTGCAGAGTATTGAATCTGTAATTTTGGCCTGTTGATCCTCATTGCACTGGTTAGTCAGAAGCCATTTTAACTGGTTGGTCAGGGTTATAAGCAGGATGGGGCTAGAACACAAACCCAGTCAGAAGCCATTTTAACTGGTTGGTCAAGGTTATAAGCAGGATGGGGCTAGAACATAAACCCAATCAGAAGCCATTTTAACTGGTTGGTCAAGGTTATAAGCAGGATGGGGCTAGAATACCCATGTCCTACAAGCAAGGATAAAAACCAAAATGATTGGAAATGACCAAATTAAATGTATTGTTACTTTAACAAGACAAGATGCAATTTTCTCCAAAGTAATTATATTTATTATAAATTTATATGGGATACAATAATTCTTAAATGGTACAATGTAAACTTCACATGTACGAAAGGTAAACCTTGAAAATAGCCAAGTAAAATAATTCCTGTCATACAGGAAGGCTGAACATCAAACTACCAGTTGTGTGTTGAGGGGTCAAACTGCTTTACTGTACTTCTTTTATACTATTCTCAATTAAAAAACCATGGCTGGGTTTCAAATGTAGCGTGGTAAATATGAGTCGGATGCCCTTACCACTTAGCCAAGCTAAAACTAGTGATTAACACAAATCCAAATTTTCCTTTAAAATGCTACATTAAAGTGATCTTAGCAGGACAAATCTTAATATAGAAAAATAATACAAAAGTCACTTACTTTGAATTGATGCTATTGTATTTTGCTCTTAAAATATAAATATAACAACACATTTTTCTCTTTTATTTTTATTTGTAACTGTACGCAACATATGTAATAAACAAATCTGCTGAATGTGGTTCATGGTGAGTGAATGACAGATGCTCAGTGGTGTCGCTCTTACCTGAGTATCTTACTTTTTGAAGACCATTGGCGTTTTATCATATGGGCGGGTTCGTAGAATGGAATAGATTTTTTTATTAATTGATTAGGGTGAGGAGATAATCTGTAATGGAATATCAGGTAGATATGTATCATAGATAGGGCTGAAAGGTATCAGGACTTGGCAAAGTCTAGGTTATACGGGAAGTATACTTAATGGTAGGGTTCCTGATTGGTAATGGGTACTTTTTATTGCAAAAAAATTAGATTGGAATGTCTGAATACAGTATAGGTTAGTGCATTGCAGTCCTGTAAGTTATAGTCCATAAGTCCATACGGGTGCAAGTACTTAACGGTATAAAGTTTCTTTTTTTTCTTTAGTGTTAGTTTTTTTGTATCATTGTGTATATCTGTACATAATTTGCATGTTTTAATAACATAATACGTTAGAATTAACACATTTATGAATGTTATTTCCTCCATTTTTTTTAATGGTTGTATATTTATGATCTAGCCTTTAAAGATTATATATTATTTACATAAATTTTAAATATTGTTATTTAATTAGGATTTCTTATGTAATGTTTTTTAATCAATTGTGTAACTAATTGTGATGTGTTCTTTGTGTTGGATTCCTTTCTCTTCGTTATTTTAAATTTATTTAAAAAATCTACACCAAATTTTGTATTTTTATAAATTATGAAAAATATAATTATTTTTCTTTAAATAGTCCACTACATTGACATTTTTTTCATATACAAGAATACATGAAATAAAACATAGTGCCTGATTGCTTCGTTTTCTTCACTTGGTAAACTTTACAGATTGAGACGAGGGAAACTACGGGAAATTTGAGCATCTCCTGACATGCTATCGTACCATCTCCTTTGATACTTTACGACTTAATAAAAGCCAATCACAAGCTAAACAGGAAAAATATTTCAAATAAGCAAAACCAATTTAAAAAACGTAATGCATTAACAATAAATAATAAAAATACTTTTTTTCCTCAATAAGTCATTAATTAAAAATTTTATTTGGGGGCTGAGAAATTTGATTTTTGGTTATTCAATCTGTTAATTTTATCTGTAATAAACTCAAGAAGATTTTTTACAAGTTTTCTTCTCTCTATGTCAAACCCGACATATTGTTTGAGTTTATTATAAATAAACTGACTTTTCAAGTATTTGTTGAGTAAAAGGAAGAAAAATATTTTAAAAAAAGTTTAAAATGAGGAAGCCTTGGTAAGAAGGGCCTATAGTCAATATTTCCATAGGTCCTTTTTTTCTATAGTCTGGCTGTAATATATTTTTTACTTTCTTTAATTCATCGATGAGTTAATGAGTGAACTAAAAAATGTGAAAAAGTATATGAAGTGGACAAGAAAGTGTGCATCGGGGCAAAGTTATGAGTTAACAGAATCACAGCAAAGAGAAAATATTTTTGTTTGTAATCAAATGTATAGAAGAATGTTTTGCTAAATTTAAACCTTCAGATCAATTATTACAACCTGCAGAGTAAAGTCACAGGATTTTTAGTAATTGTCATACAACTTTTGAACATTTCAGCAAAGCATGCTCGTATTTTTTAAAGCAAAGACCTCCAAGATGATCCTTCCTTGAATGAAGGTGCAAGTACGGAAATCATAAAAAGGCACTCTAACAAAATATACTTTGACAACCCAAACTTGTTAAACAAAGGCATTTTCAAAGCAGTTTAAAATTTACTTTCAACTGGGAAGTTTTTACAAATGAAGTCCAAGACCTTCAGTCATACACTTTTGTTTACTTATTGTTATTATAGCCATTTTTTATTTTTACAAGGGTTCCCAACAGCAGAGGCCATATAAACTCCCAAGGTGCTGGTGTTTAAAAAAAAAAATCTAGTTTGTATATCACATTCGAATTCAGAGCTGCTGAATTTTATACTGGGATCTTTACCTTACAGTGATGAGCACCATGTCAATTCCTTAATCGTTGCGACCACCATTGCCTTCTGTCAAGCACTTCACCATTAAAAAACCCCAAAAACTTACGCATGCAATTTTTACCCTATTATTATCAAACTTGTTTACAGTTATTACTGTTTTTGATAATAAAATAATGTTTTATCTTTCTTAAGAGAAACTTGTAAGTTCTCAGTGTCCTTTTTGTGAAGAAAATTTATTCTCCATCACAAAAGTTATCCCCAAGAGGTTTCTATGACTTCAACACGGGAACGAGTTCCTCTTTTGAGAAGATATTCTATGAAGGGGTAAGCACGGTAATGAAAAGAAGGTACTTTAGAGTACCTGAAATCTACACCTCACTATAAAAGAATGTACTTTTGACAACCTGAACTTGATTAAGCTTAAAGCCCCTAAAAATGAAACCCAAGACCTTATTCTGCCAAACACACTTTAACACTAAGAAGCCTAAAATCGACTTGTACAATTTTTTCCCTTATTAATTATACTTTTTCATAGTTTATTAATGATTTAGTTATGAAAAAAGTTTTTTTTAATAGAAAAATTTAAGTTCGTGTGGAATTTCTTAGGAAGAAAATATTTTCCCTATCACAAAAGTTTGCCCCAAGAAGGCATTTTCTATACTGCGATTCAATTTTAATTAAAAATAATAACATGAGAAGTGAAGAAACAATAAATTCAGGATAAATAGGTTTAGTAATAAAATAACTTGTCCCTATTTTACAGTGAATGTTTGAAAACTTTAGACTATGATTACTTGACAAAAGATTTTGCCACATAAATGCTTCTTGCTTAGACCTCCTCAATTATCTGATTAATATTTGCAATTGTCTTCACATCACCTTTTGATGACAAGTGTTACTTATTTATTTTACATTCAAGGAAAATTGAATGATTAGAAACAACTGGTTTCCTGTTGATTAAAACTTTTTCCTTATCAAATTAATTATAAAATTAAATTTGTTTAAAATGTAATAATTTTTAAGATATCATTCTGAATTGTGAGGAATTTTTAATTGTTACAAAAATATCCTTTTTTTAATTGATCTCAAAATCAAATTTCCTTCGCCATAGTGATATGAGGATAATGTTCAAAATGGGAAAGGCTTAGTTGAAAAAGTGAAATTTTCTATTTTCAGACAATTGTTTTAAGTTAAATCAAATTGAAAATAGTGATATTTTGCTGAGAATACTCAAGCTCCAACTTTATTTAAAAAGTTGGAGCTTATGACTCAATTGGTGGTGGGTATGTTTTACCAGTCACTAATGGACATCCTTAAAAAGTTAACTTTGGCTTAATTTCTGTTTCTCAAGAAATTCAATAATTCTGTTAGTAATGTTCTTTAATGGATCAATGGAGGACAATAATTAATTCTAATAAATGTCATTATTTTGCTTTTTTTGAGGATGTTGGCATTGGGAAGTTATAAAGTCCAGCCTCGGCTTTAAAAACTACTCTTTGCAAATAAATCTTTGCATACGCTAATGATTTTCTGCCTCTGATTTTTCGTAGGCCTTCTGTAATTGCTTTTGCGAGATCATCAGATGTGCTGTTAAATGCAAAATTAAATATTATTAATCACGAGCTTGTTATTGCTGAACTTTTCTCTAAGATATAAAGTTAAATTTGGGCTATATATAAATATATAAAAAGAAAATTATGGTTTCTCAATAAAATCTGTATCATCTTGCTAATTTCTGTACAGAAAATAAGAAACAGATTGGCATTTTTGGGTATGTGGTAACATTAATAGTCATATTCATTTTTTTAAGGTTTAAACTTTGATAGTTTCTTCAATTTAATTGATAGTTGTGTATATCATAGGGTTAAACTATGAAAATAACATGTTACACTTTTCCAAAAAGAAAATGAGACTGAAGCCCCCAAAATCAATATCAATAAAAAGAAACTAGTTTGATGGTTGTCTAGTTTCTGAAAAGAAACCAAGAAATATAATAAGTCAACCGGAAAAGAAGAGTAAAAATGAAAATAAGCATTACTGTCATTTAGAAAAAAATAAAATATATATAGCAATGTTTTTTGCATTCTTAGATTATATAAAATACTATCGTTGATCTCAAGTTTTGACATTGTGTTTGATAGGTTAAAATATATACGATAAGTTACAAATTTAAACATTTTTTTGTCTGACTTAACCCACAATTAACTTAATAAATGTAAGAAATCTTGACCATTGTTGTCCTTAACAATAATTTTAGCGTATTACAAATTGAATTACTTTAATGCTTGGCCTCCTGGAATTCTTTTCAGTGAACGGTTTCGTTTGCGCTGATTTGGCATATAGACTCCAGTTTCGGCTTCAAATAGTATTTTTTGGATGTTAAACTTTGCCGCTGCAATCGTGTACTGGTCTTTAACGCTTCGCAACTGAGAAGCTATGCTCTCCCCAAATGCTTCGTACTCGTCTTTGAATCCTCGTGTCTTTTTCGGTTGACTTGTATTGAAATTGTGCGCAGCAATTTCTTTTTTATTTACTTCTGGATCTCTTCTTAAATTGTTACTATCCCTTTTGACAACAACCCTAGATTTGTCTGACGAAGATCGCTTCAAACTGGTTTTCAATATCGGGTCAGTTTGCACTTCCATTTCTTGTCTCTGCGGAATCGGCTCTCCTGAGACTAACATTAAGATACAAATTTGAGTTATTTAAAGAGAATAATTTCAGTTAATATTTGGGAATTCTACTTACCTCTTCTTTTCTGGATGAGAAGAGGTGTTGGATTTAATCGTCCCATTGTTTATGTTGTTTAAAATTAATGTTGGTTAATGGTAAATGGTGTAATGAAGAAAAATGAATGTTTGTGTTTTTAAGATTATTTTTGTTTACAAATAAATAAATCATATGGACTCTGGACCACATGAATGTTTTGTGTATTGTTTCATAAACCAAATTTAAAAAAAAAAAGTACTTTCTTCACATATACAATCCATAATTATTTGGAATGAAAATGGACATTCCTGAATTATGAAAGCTTGTTCTAAATGTAATATAATAACTATAATAATAAATTAAAGAAAGTAATATTATCAAAGCTGTTTCCTTTCTAAGGACCTTTACAGTGCCTAAATATTAAGGTAATTCCTACTGTTCTAGTCGAATGACTACTACGTCTGAGGAGTCAGAGCTACTTTGCAATACTTTTTCCAAATTAATCTCAAATATGCAAGGACTATCCTGGGATTTGGACCCAGAAACGCTATAGTGGCCAATACAAGTCAGACGCCCTAAACATTTGGCCAGTGCTTTTCAGCACTATTTTTTCGGCTGGAATTTGTAGGCTTCCCTAGTAAAGTCCACTAAGGAACTAAAATATTTCCCATTAAGTCAGCTTATCGATCTTAAACATGATAGAACATTTACAGTTCAAATCACTTCTGTTGAAATTTGAGCTAATATAGGGCAATTAGATAAAAAGTGGTTGTGGTCTGCAACTTCATTAGAACAAAATTGTCTGACATTAAAATCCAAAATTAAAATTTAATTGCTTCAGCCCAGTCCCTAATCCCCGCTTGATTATTAGATTGTAATCAAGTTTGCACCAACTTCTTTAACATCGAACAAATAAGTCATATAAAAAATTTGGGACTAATTATCGACGAAAGATCAAAATGGCATGCCCATATTACTAAGGTCCAGAAAAATTTGTGCTGAGGCAATTTATGTTTTGCAGAACAAATGTGAAAATGGTCTTGTGTTAAAGGTTTATTATGTCCTGGTTCAATCACATAACCCGTCCAGACTGGTGTGGTGGGGAGGTCCTTATGCCAATGTGAAAGATCAGATAGACAAAAATATAAAAATGAATTGTAAGAGCTTTGTCATACAAGGAGAGAATAAAACACTTGCTTCGACTTTAAAAAAATTCAATTTTTTACCACTACATTTTCTTTATGATTATTTGAAGATCGTGAAGTGCCATCCCCCATTAATTAACGGTCACTAAACACTACACAGTCTTTATATATATTTATATTTATTAAGAAACTTTATTAACAGAGGAGGAAATCAAATAGATAAATGTTAAACTTCAAATTCTAAATTGAGGAACCCAATGCGGTTAGTCTTAACCTAAAACCTCTCTACCCCTAAAAAAATTGTGTACAAAGGTCCTAACTTCATAAACTTCCAGAAGGCTTAAAAACCTGCTTTAACTTTAAGAAAACTTTAAAATAAATTAAAAATGGCTTTTCAAGCAACTAAAGTCTCATATTGAATAGTACAATTAGGCACAACTCTATATAAAATGTGTGTGTTTTTAGTGACCAGTTGTTATAATTTGTTGGAGTTGTGAGGAACAGTTAGGAATAAGTATATTAGAAAAACACCTTTTCATTTTTTTTAAATTGATATTTGAGTTTACATTTAATCAATTTGACATTTACCTCTTAAAATATGTTAGACCAGATAAGGATATTAGTTAATGCCAAGTTTTATTACTTGCTACAAATTTCAAATACTTACTGGTATTTTTGAAACCCTAATAACATTAATTGTGCCAAAACCCTTAATATGTGCTTGAAGTTTGGTCATTTTTGGCCTGCCTTGTCTCGGTTGGCTTGTCAGTTCAGCTGCCATTTGGGGTGGGGTAGTGAGAATAGGACCAAGATGATCGGTAACGACCAAATTTCTGGCTCATCAACCCACAGAAAACACTTGGCAATCTCACAATCTTAATGTTTGCGCTAATCACAATAATTTTTTTCTACTTTTAATCCTCAAGTAGCTCAATTGTTGCTTCCCAATTTTTGCTGTTTCCTGGCTTGCTTCCAAACAATCCAAAATTTTATTGCTTTCAAACAATCCTGCAACTCAATATTTTTTGGTCCTCCGGGCCGGATGGAACCACTTAATATGTAGTTGTGATGAAGTTGGACTGTCCATAGTGCTTAGGAATTATATCACTTTGAAGGTACATGAATATTGAAGCAGTCCGCAGAGGGAGTTGAAATTTTATAGAAATAAGCTTTACATTTTTGTAAATGATGCGTTAATGGGGAAAACAAAAACAATTAACCACAAACAACAAAATATTGAATGAGTATGAAGATCTCTTTTAAGGTGTGTTTTGGAACACATTATTCAACATATCATTTTATTGAAGCGATATTAATTTGGAGGCACCAGCCTCCCTTCTTCAGTCTTGCTGCATTTCTGGTTTTTTTTTTTTTTTTTTTTTGCCCTAGCAATGAATTTTGATATGATTTGATTAGGATTATAACTTTGTTACAAAAACACCATTAAACAATTTTTTTTACAACTGCAATTCTTATTTTTCAGCAGTTAAACTATATAAAAAGACAGAATAATTATAATTACATATTTTTCAGCAGTTAAACTGTACATAATGACAGAATAATAATAATTTCTTATTTTTCAGCAGTTAAACTTTACATAAAGACAAAATAATAATAATTTCATAATTTTCAGCAGTTAAACTATACATAATGACAGAATAATAATAATTTCTTATTTTTCAGCAGTTAAACTGTACATAATGACAGAATAATAATAATTTCTTATTTTTCAGCAGTTAAACTTTACATAAAGACAATAATTATAATTTCATATTTTTCAGCAGTTAAACTATTCAAAAAAGACCAAATTATTATAATTTCATATTTTTCAGCAGTTAAACTATTTGAAAAAAGACCAAATTATTATAATTTCATATTTTTCAGCAGTTAAACTATTTAAAAAAAGATCAAATTATTATAATTTCATATTTTTCAGCAGTTAAACTTTACATAAAGACAGAATAATTATAATTGATTAAAAAACAAAAAAACAAAAAAACAAAAAAAAAACAGCAAGAACTAAACATTAAAATCTAAAAAAATTGAAAACCTCAACTAGGCATATGGTGGTATTGATACAAATTTTTTAATTAGATAATCTTTTATACCCTCAGTCGGAGATAGTTTAAACATAGTGTGATACAATTTGTATCTGAAATTCTCGTTTACGTACTCCCTCTTTGGGCTGGTGGAAAACAGAGCGTCTTCAAATTTTGCAAAAAGCACGGGGTCGTCAACGTAACCGATCGTGTCTTGCGAAGGTATACCAATTTTAAAAAGGTACGACTGCAGTGTTTCAAAATGAGGGTACGCTTTTTTAATATCCGGCGTCATCAGCTGCTCCATTTCACACATCAACTCCGCTTGTTTGCACAAAATTCTACTCTTCAATGGGTAGGATCCTGAAATTGTGTTTGTTTATAAGAAATTATGCTGAAAAAATTGCTCATTTGTTTTTTATTAGTTGTAATAATATAAATTAGATTTTATAGATTTGTTAATTTTAGAAGAAAACAATATTATTTTTTAAATTTTCCAAATGAAAAGCTCGAGAAGAACCAAATAAGAATAGAACTTAAATAGTTGATTAATAACAATTAATTAAATTATGTTTTTATAATTTCAAATAATAAATAATTAAATTTTAATTACCTGGCACAAAAGTTATAACTTTGACTCCAAATCTTTCCATCTCTATTCGGAGGGATTGAGACCAAGCATCAATTGCAGCTTTGGTGGCACAGTAAATTGAGAGCGATGGCAATGACGCTTTGGCGCAGTGAGATGTTAAATTTATCACACGTGCTAAACAGTAAAAATGAGTGATAATCGGGATTTGCGAGAGAGAATAAATTATATTTACCTCGATGTGTTCGAATTAATGGTAAAAAGTACTTTGTGACGGTGAGAGTTCCAATAAAATTTACATTGATTTGATTTTGGATGTGGTTCATCGTCAGACATTCGAAATCCCCAAAAAGTAAAACACCTGCATTGTTAACAAGTCCTAGTAATTCTGAAAAATAAATAATTAATTATAGATTGAAATATATGCGGCATTTTGATCAGACATGCTAAACGGTATAAAAGTACTTCTTGCTCATATCTATACTGACTAAGAAAAATATCCTACAATTCAACCAAATTAATTTAATGTATATATTTGTAAGAAAAAAATAGGCAAACATTTTAACTATAAATTAGTGTTTTACAACAACAAAAAATTTTTAGGGATTTTTCGACCAAATGTTAAATCAAAATCACAAGTACAGGAAAATAGGAAAAAACTGAATGTACACGATAGCAAAAATCTGTTATATCACGAAAATATTACAGTTTGACCCTAAAAATTTTTAAAATTCAAATTAAAAGATCACAGATATACAAAACAATTGTATATTCATAAAATGTTCTTTTCCATAAACCTTGATTTTACAAGGACGAGGGTATCTTTGAACTTTGACGTTGTTTATCGTTCATAATGACATAATATTATCTCCTCATCACTCTGTGTAGAACGACAATTATTCTCACATTCAACCTACCGACTTGTCACTGTATCGTTGAGGTAAGATTGTAAAATTTGATAAATTTCTATCAACGGATTAATTTATATTGGCATGTATCAAATTCTCGAGTATTAAATAGTCAATTTTATATAAATTGGTTAACAATAAAATTTCATTTTGAAATGAAATGAAAGTGTTGACAATGTAGAAAATAAAAGTCTATTTATTAAACAAATATTAAAATAATTAAAATTTTTTTTAAAAATCAATTTACTAGCATCTAGGCGATGATTTAAAGGAATGATATTTTATGCTCATCATGATAAATATTTAAAAATAGTAGCCACTGAAGCGCATATTTGTGACTCATCACAAAAAACAAACTTTTAGCGGTTTTCTTAGATATTCAAAACGCTTTTGATCGTACCCAGAGGCGACTAATTCTAGACACTTTTAGGTTTTGGGATTAATGGTAATCTTTTCAATTTCGTTAACAATTTCTTAAGTAATCGAAATTTACTGTATGATGCGGATCTGCAACCTCTAAAGGTTATATTCAAGAGAACGGAGTGCCACAAGGCAGCGTCCTTAGTGCCACATTGTTTATCGCTATCGCAAGCTCCTCGACCTTTCCTCCACTTTGCCAGGGGGGTAGAAAATTTTTGTATTCTAGAAACCATTGTAATCTGTTCGATACCAGCAAATTTGCAACTGATAGAATGCACAACATACACTTTTGGTGACAATTGATTTATTTTCTTAATGAACTTCACTTTATAAATTTAGAAAAAAATAAATGCCTTATTATATCAAAAATTCAATCATCCCTCCAACTACTTACATTTTTAAATTGAATTTTGTATTAGGTTAAGAATTTAGTATTTTGATTTATCCATTATATTTCGTGGTTCGATTGACCAAATAACTTTTTTCAATTAATTAATCTTTATGTAAGGTATTGGTTGAAATGAAAAAGTTAGGTCGTGGGTTCAAATCCCGCTCGTGACACTACCTTTTCCATTTCAACCAATGCCTTACAGAAAAAGTAATTAATTAAAAAAAAATTTGATTTATGTTTAACTTAAAATCGATTTGAATTCATGGCAAAAAAATTATGGTAAAAATATATATGTTTTTTAAGATAGGAGAGAACCAAGATAAGATAAAAAAAAAAGTGAATGCGATTATTACGTTAATTTTATAAATTTTATTATTTTTAGAGCAAATGAATTAAGATAAGAAAGAGATACGTTAAAGGAGAGTTTTTATAAGTTATGTAAACGTTGATGATATTTAAAATTAAGAAAAATCTGATATTTTTTTTTAAGCCAAATAAGAAATCATAACATGAGATATTTTTCTGATTCCTTCCAAGATTGTTTTGCCCTGATGGTCAGAAATAGATTTAAGAATATTAATTGTTGGCAAAAATTAATGAAATATGACTGAAGGTCATTGAAACGAAATCTAGTACTTGGCATGTCCTCTTGAAATCAATTGAAAAATCTTATTAAAACTAAACACGAGGAGAAAATAAATAAACATAAATATCAATTATAATTTGTGTTGTTGATAGAAAAAAAATTAACTTTTTGAGGTCAAATGACTGCAATAACAAATTGAAGATAACACGATTAATTTTGAAATAAATTTTGGGAAACTCCAATATCGGATAGTAATTATGGCACTCTTGTCGGATCAATAAAACAATTGATTCCAATCAATACCACTCAAGTGGTAGAGTAGCGTCGTATCTAGCTGAAGGTCGTGGGTTCGAATCCCGCTCGTGACACTGACTTTTTTTTATCTCAATTAAAAACCTTAATTAATTGGAAAACAATTAATATTACAAAATATACAATAATAACAGGCTGAATGAGTATTTACCGTATCCGTTTTCATTGATGGTGTGCATGATTTGTTCTGAGACGTTTTTGACGAGTTCTTCCTTCGTCACGTCCATTTTGTACAAGTGTACCAAGTCCCCGGCGAGCTCCTGGGCACCATCACAGTCCAGGTCGAGCACGCAGGCCAACACGGTCATACCTCGTTCGACAAAGTGTTTTGCGAATGAAAATCCCAGGCCGGAATCGCAGCCGGTTATTATCACGGCTTTGGTGCTGTCGAGGGGCTTAGCTCGTACCAACTTGGCCCAGAACTTGTAGCCTAAGTAGGAGGCAGCGACTGCGGCTAAGCCGACGCTGCAAACTTCGACGATTTTCATGGTCCCCGTGGCGTTCATCGCAGAACTGTAATAATTCTCCTCTTTTAGAATGAAAAAAGGATCACTGGATGAATTATTCACCGACCCCGCTCCTACGACGGACTGTTCTTTTAATGCACGACCTTTGGACTTTCAACACTCTTCGAAAGCAAAAGATGGAATGCTTCTCAAAGGCATATTCAACGAGAAAAGAATAAGTTTTTATGACTGTTTTCAAGGGAAGGGAGGAAAAAGGAAGATGACCGTTAGGACAGTTACTGAAAGGGGTTTTAAAATAAATGAAAAAAAAATACACAAATGCAGTTGATTTAATAATAACCAACAACCCATAATATTTATCATATATACAAACTGTTATGGAAAAACTTTTAAATACCTATTATATTAAAGATACCTTCGACTTTAAACCGATTCCGCTATCCTTATTTTATACAGATTAATTACAGTGTGTTTTTTTACAACCCATCCATAATTTGTCCTTATGGAAAATTTATATCAAGATTTTTTTCTGTAATCGTAATTTCTTTTTCAATATTCAATATTTTTTGCAGTGGTATGTTCTCATTTTCTATTTTTGGAACTTTTGACGAATAATTGCTCAAAATTGATTTCTTTATTAGCCTCAAAATATAGAAAATAAGGCAAAACATTGTTTCTGAAATACAAGAAGGGAGCACGACATGGGTCAATAAATGCTGACAATTGTCTTCACTTTTAGCTTTAATAAATTAAAACTGAGTGAAAACATTGTCTCTGAAATACAAGAAGAGATCACGTTTTTCTGATATTAGAAACTAGAAGTAATTTTCCTGATGACAGATTATTTTTTATAGTAATCGTCAAGTTGCCGACGTTTTGTAGCTATAATTTTTCCGTTGAGTAATTGGAACTTTTGATCAATAAATGCTGAAAATTGCCTTCACTTTTAGCTTTAATAAATTAAAACTGAGTGAAAACAGTGTCTCTGAAATACAAGAAAAGATCACTCTTGGGGGTCAATAAATGCTGACAATTGTCTTCACTTTTAGCTTTAATAAATTAAAACTGAGTGAAAACATTGTCTCTGAAATACAAGAAGAGATCACGTTTTTCTGATATTAGAAACTAGAAGTAATTTTCCTGATGACAGATTATTTTTTATAGTAATCGTCAAGTTGCCGACGTTTTGTAGCTATAATTTTTCCGTTGAGTAATTGGAACTTTTGATCAATAAATGCTGAAAATTGCCTTCACTTTTAGCTTTATTTAATTAAAATTGAGTCAAATTAATCGTAATATTCCTAATCTTGACCTAACCTAACCCAACCAGTTCTTAACCGTTCTCTAAGTAACATTAACATAATGTCTGAATAACTAACCAAGCCCGCTCCTAACGTTAACCTAACCCTAACTTTAACCTAAGCCCAATTCCTAATATTAACCTATCATAACCCTGACTGTAACCATTACGCTAACATTACCTAACTCTTATTGTTGTTTGTGTTTATGTTATCTTATCGTTAACGATGAACATTGCCAAATATTTTCACTAATTTCGTGGTCCACTTGACCAATTAAATCATTACAATTAATTAATGTCCGAATGGCTCGAGGTCACGATAGCTCAGGTGGTAGAGCAGCGGCGTATCTAGCCGAATGGTCGTGGGTTCGAATCCCTCTCGTGCCATTAACTTTTTTTCATCTCAACTAAAAACCTTAATTAATTGTAATTACCAAATAAGCTCATAATAGTTCCTAACCTTTTCTATCCATACTTAATCAACCCATGCTCAGCTGGGTCATAAAGCCATAAACATGTTGACATTTATATCCTCCATTTTAAGAAGGCAATTTGCAATTACGTTGAATACGAATTCAGACCTGGCGAGATTCGAACCCGGATTCCTTGCGGCCACCACTTCTTTATAACACTTTAACAGTTTTTCTCCCATCCAATGTTTTACCATTAGCCTGTCTCTCCTTTATTTTCAATTTTAGGCCGAATTTAATATTATGTAGAATTGTGAATATTGTGTTACGATTTTAGGCTGTTAAAAAAGTACAAAATATAAAAGAAAGTGTGGGCTTAAAACAGCTATCCACTGAAGGAGGGCAAGAAGGAAATAGGGACAATTTAATTCGAAATGCAGCAATATGCACCAATTAATTTTTTTTAAATACCTTTAAACTTTAATGTTGAAATTGCATTGTTTACATTTACTTTGTTAAATTAAACATTGACAATGTAACAATGTCATGTTTAAAATTACATTGTTTTACCAACATTGTGCATGTCTAACTGCACGAGGTCTATTGCACCTTGGTTTCGTCTAAATCCACTTTGCCATTGGTGATTGATTTATTCTCTAAATATGTTAGGTGAATTCCCAGAACTGTGGAGAACAGCTATTATGATATCTATCCTAAAAAAAAACCTTCCCACGACGTTAAAAATTATTGACCATATCACTTATTTGTTCCACGTGCAAACCAATTGAAAAAAAAATGGTGGCGAATCGGCTGCACTGGTATTTAGAGAATAAAGGACTACTTCACCAATGGCAAAGTGGATTTAGACGAAACCAAGGTGCAACAGGCCTCGTGCAGTTAGACATGCACAATGTTGGTAAAACATTTGAATTTTTTATCAGTCAATTTGCACTTAATACCTTAAATGATGGTTCACCGATGTATTTTTGTTCTAGATCAGGAACAATCTCCTTTATAGATGTTTCACTAACTAGTGAACTGCATCCCTTTCTTAATTTACGCTAGGTGATTCTTATGGGAGTGATTACCACTATTGCAATTAACACAATGACAAATTATTTAGTAAACTGCAAACTAAAACAACTGAAATTAGAAAAAGCTAATTGGTCGGATTTCCAGGATTGCGTAAATCTAAGTGATCTAGATATGCACCAATCAGAATGTTTTTAAATTTTAATGTTCTAATCGACATTTTTTTTTTTTTTTGGTTGACTATTGAACCATTCATGGTTTCACTTAGATCTAGATTCTTTGAATAGTTTTCGACTCTATGAATCGACAAAGAGTACAGTCAGGTTGTGTCAACGTAGCACATTGCATGGACCCCACTGGGTGCAACGTGGCCAGACGCCACTTGTTTTGTCGACTGTACGCACTACGCAAGCGTTTCAGCCCCGCTTCAGGTTCAGTGCCACTTGCCAGTTGCCAGTTCACACTTCACGGTTGCCACTTGCCACTCGTCTCGAGACCCGCCATCACCAGTCAGTCGCTCATTTCTCAGCTGTTTCAGTCACGCAGTGTAAAAATACAGCTGGGGATCAGTTTTAATTCAAAATTTTTTTTCTATTCTCTTCCGATTTCATTTTTTGAGGATCTGCCAACAAATTACCAAGGTAAGACTGTTTATTTTGCCTTTCCCACTTGGTTAATTTCAAATTGCAACGCTTAATTATTACCGGCTGTAAATTTTCGACGCATTCTAATCTCGACCGATAAGATTTATCTTAAAAAAATATATTTCAACACAATTTTACCTATTGACAATACTGAAAATTTAATAGATTTATAAGATAAACCGTATTCGGATAATTTCTCGTCTTACAAATGCTAAAATCCCATTGGCAGTGCTCCCTAAGATATTTGAAATTTTTCCCACCCCAAGGAATATGCAAAAATGAAAGTTTATGGTGCAGTAATTTACAAAAAATATACAATATTTTCACTAAGCTAGGTGGACATGAATTGGGTACACGTTCGTTTTTAGAAAAAAAATTCGAGGAATTTCATACTTGCATGAAATTTCATGATGCAGCAGAACCCGATTAATCCGGCTTCAAGCGTTTATCTTATTGAAATGTTGATTTATCATGTTTAATGTTTGTGACTATTTTTTTTAACTTGGTGGAGGACTTTTGCTGCTTCAAACCTGTGACTTAAACTTACACAATCATTTAAACTGTTGCTGAACAATAATCTTTGTTTATAGTACGATAAAGCGAAAAAAATAAACAATTTTTTTATTATCACATTTCTGTTTTAAAAATCGCACAAGAAAGTTTGTAGAAAATCAATTGATTTCTAATTTTGCTGCAGGACAGTACATTAAAAAAACAAAACAAAAAACAGAATATATGAACGAACGAAAATTCATCCTGCAACAATGTTCATGGAGTTTATTGATTTTTTTATTGTGATTTCAGTAATGTTTATTTAGCATTTTAACAGTAATCAATAAGGCGGATTCCAATATTTAAATTTTCGTCAAATTTGTTGGCATTTGGATAAAACAAATCGTATAAAAGATGGTAGTTTGGAAGTAGATTGGTGAATTTTCATTTAGTAGCTGGAATGTGGTTTGGCCTGGTTTTCGAATGTTTATCTGGCCATAATCACACAATTCACTCAATTGAATTTTAAAGCTTCCAATTTGCAGAAAATCATATTTCAGAAAAAAAGGTAGATTGTGCATGGCAAAATTTGTACAATAGGTTTCATTTTATTTTATTTTTTTTATGGGAAAGTGAGATAAAACTAATTTTATAATCTAATTTCTTCTCAATCTTTGGGCCAGCTAAATCAAACCAAATTGGCGAATTTATTTATTCTCTGACTGTCCTTACAACTTTGCTTGATTAAGTATAAAATGTTAGATGTATCGACAACCCTACTCTTGTAAAATGTATGAAAAAAAATCAATTTATCTGCCAAGCTTTCTATTTTAAGATCATCAGGGTAAAACAATCTTAAAGATGTCTACAAATTGACATAATTAAGTTTTTAATAAATAGTTTCAATTTTCTTTAATATAGACTCAGTCTCAACATTGCCAAGCACTGTAACACCGGTTTTAAGGTTAAGTTATCCCTGGGTTAGGTTTAGGTTAGCGTTATGGTTAGTGTAACGTAGGGTAAGGGTTAGGAATTGGTTAGGTTAGGTTGGGGATAGTAGTGTTACATAGGGATTAGAGCTAGGTTAGATCATGGTGAGCAAAGGGTTAGGTTTAGGTTAGCGTTATGGTTAGTGTAACGTAGGGTAAGGGTTAGGAATTGTTTAGGTTAGGTTGGGGATAGTAGTGTTACATAGGGATTAGAGCTAGGTTAGATCATGGTGAGCAAAGGGTTAGGTTTAGGTTAGCGTTATGGTTAGTGTATCGTAGGGTAAGGGTTAGGAATTGTTTAGGTTAGGTTGGGGATAGTAGTGTTACGTAGGGATTAGAGCTAGGTTAGATCATGGTGAGCAAAGGGTTAGGTTAAGTTAGAGTTAGGGTTGATCTTAGTGTAACGCAGGATTAGTGTTAGGATAGAATAAAGAACAGGTTTGGTTAGAATAGGATGGGACTGAGTCGATTTTCAAAGAAATTTGAAACATCTATTAAAAAATTAATTATGTCAATTTGTAGACATCTTGATTTTTTTTCCCTGATGATGATCTTAAAATAGGTCGAAAACTTGACTGATAACAATTTTTTTTAAATCCGGGCCGACCGAGATCCAAATTATTCGTGATTATAAAACACCGATTTTATTTATTCTACGTGCTTGGTTCTTCTAAAATATAACTGAATTCAATAATGAATTTACGAGTATTTTGCCCCTGGCTTAGCAAGGTAGATTTAGTTTATTTACAGAAATTAAGGATTCATAACAAAAAAATGCAAAATTTAGGACGATTTGGACTCTTTTTCGTTTTGTTCTTGAAAAATATCGTTGTCCACTTGTTAAAATTACAATTTTTCTTTTTCACTGTGCACACCTTCCATTAGTACGATGAGCTTGACTATTTATCCAAGTACTTTGCTCGTTTTTTGAATTAAAAAAAAAAAAATCACAAATTAGATAAAACGTATACTTAATTGAAATTATTTATATGGTCAATTATGACCTCTAAACGTACATGGATTGAAAAAAATTCAAAAATTTACTTTCTTTCGTTAAATAGCATGTTACAGCATAAATCATATCCAGCTTCAAGCGTTTGTTTTACTTTTCAATTAATTAAGGTTATTAGTTGAGATAAAAAAGTCAGTGTCACGAGCGGGATTCGAACCCACGACCTTCGGCTAGATACGCCCCTGCTCTACCACTTGAGCTATCGTGACTTCGATCCACCTGGACACTAACCTCCCATCTCAACCCCACCTTTTGAATTTTCCCTCCTTTTCGCCATTTTTCGTTTGTTTTACCTTTTATAAGCCTCTTTGAAGCATCTAAAAAATTGAAATTGTACAGCTTCAATTTTGCCTAAAATCAATCGATTCTTCTTTTGCTGAGGGATGTCTTATTTTTTATAATTCCATTTTATTTTTCTTTAATGAGAAAGTGAAATAATACTTTTTATACTTTGCCTAATTTCTTCCCGTCCTGCTAAGCCGAATTAATTATTAAAATAATTAAATTAATTAATTTATTAAACCAAATTTTCAAATTTATATTGAAATTGTCCTTATCTCCTTGCTGGATTAAATAAAAAAGAATACACCGATTTTTTTTATCCCACTCGTTTGGTTCTTCCAAAAATAACTGGATTTAACCGTTTTTACGAGTACTTTGGCATTGGCTTGCCAAGGTGGACTTCATTTTTTTAAACAGAAATCAAGTCTGTTTAACAAATAAAAGAAAGCATTTAAGACGATTTTTGTAAACTGGTTCTCCAAACATACCGTTAAAAAATCGTCCGCTTTTTATAAAATTTTTCCCTTATACTACAATTAAAAAGGTTGATTTGACTATTTACGTGTGTACACGTTGATCGTTTTTAAGTTTAATAAAATTTTAACTTAGAATTTCATTTTCTCAATTTGACCCCCGTGGACGATTTATTTACCGTGAAACCAACATCGTATGCACGGGTCAGACTTCATAATAAAGTTGGAAAGGGTACAACAGTGTTACAAAGTTTCAACAAAGTCAGGGAACTAGACGGGATTGAGAAATAAAAATAAAAAACCAGACATTTCAATTAAATATTAAGATTGTAAGGTTTATCCTTGTTTGAGGATGATGAACTGAAAATTTGAAGATGATGTTAAGAGGACTCTAGGAACCTGCGGTTTGGTGTTCCTAAAGCATTAAAATCTTTTGGCTTATTGTACTTTTCATAGTTTCTTTGCTAGTTCGATTGACTCGATCCTTCTTCTTAATTGACTATCATTTCTGCAATTCTTTTTCCGGGGTCTTTTTGAAATCCTAGGTTATGTCTCTATAGAGCAGTTGCTTAACGTTCGAAGATAGCAGTTTCTCTCACTGCAGATGACCGTTATAAATCCCTATTTCTCTAAGCTTTACCAATCTGTCTGTCAGGTTTAGTGAGGGTTAATTAATTATGATTTTTCTATGAATTTCGCCCATTCCTTTTGATTTTTGTAGACCTATTCTTTTCTCATTCTCGCAGTCAACCGGCAATTCCAGCTTTCGTGATTTTATTTATTAAATAGATTACCAGTAGGCCTAAATCGCCCGGGTTTCGGCAGTCCGGGGTCAGACCTCGGTCTTATCCTCCAGGGGCTATCAGCAGCTAGGTCATTTCAGCCCCAACGTAATCTATTTTTCTATTCACACTCTAATTACCTATTATATAACTAACCTAATTGAATGTTGATTTTCAATACTCCGCCATCGGTCCTCTGATTTAACGCCAATAAATGGTATGGTAAAAAAGGATACAAGGAAGTGGGGTTGGCGCTCCCCAGGCACTGCGGCCTTCTGGCTTATTGTACCTTCCTAGTTCCTTAGTTCAGTGCAATAGACTCAATCCTTCTCCTTAGAAGTATCAGGTCATTGACCTGCTGCTGCTATTTGATTCCCTAAGTCTTTTCCGTACGTTAGGTTAAACCTCCATTGAGCTGTTGCTTCGCATTCGAAGATGATATGACTGGATGTTTCCTCCTCCTCATTACATAATCTGCAGATGGGATCTTCGTTGTATACATCCATGTTGTGTAGATGCTTTCTCAGATGCCAGTGACCGGTTAGAAGTCCTTCTACTCCTCTGAGTTTAGCCTGTCCAATTGCAGCAGTGATTTTGCCAGTCTTTGTGAGGGTTGTTTCATCATAAGTTTACTATGTCTAGCACCACTAGAGTTTATCCACTTCTCCTTTTGTTTTGTTTGGATCCATTCTGCGATGGAGGATTCTATATTTGTTTTTGTTATCCAATAGGTTCAGGGCCTATGTATGGTCTTGCAGGTCCTCCTCTGGCAAGACCGTCTCATTACTTTCTCATAACTCAAAATTCCCCTGTGCCCTGGCATCCAAGATATCATCAGGTTGTTGTGTTTCCCCAGTTTTTGGAGATTTTGGATGCATTCACTGACTAATTTTGATGTAAATCTTTTACATGCTAGTGCTTTAATGGCTGCTTGGCTATCAGATCTTATGAGGATTTTTTGTCAGTGTAACCTCTTTTAAGATTTTCCGGGGCACACGCCAATAAATACATTCACTCTCAGTACTCTCTACGGGACATGACTATCAGTACTATTATTCAATAAAACAACCTTCCTCCAAGAATCATAACGGGGGCCATATTAATATAGTAAATTTAAAAAAAAATTTAAAACTATTTTTGTAGCACAGTTTTTGTTCATTATGCCATAAAAAAAATTCCTTTTTATTCAAATAAGTTTGATCCTTGACTTTCAAGCCTAAAACTTTGGTTCAAAAATCCATCTCCATTTAGCCACTTTTTCATTATGCCAAAACTATAAATAAAAAAGATTATTTGTAATAGATTTGTAATAGATTATTCATAAATTTATTTAGAAATCGTGAGATGCGGTCTGGTGTGATGTAGGTTTCATAAAAACATTTTCTTTATCGTGCCAACGTTTCGATCTTTTATTGAGATCATCTTCAGGGCCTGGGATTTACAAACAATGTTTACATTTAACAAATACATTTAGGATGTGTAAATGTGAATTTATACAATGCAAAATATATTTTATATTCAAACAAAGTATTTCCACATCCTAAATGTATTTGTTAAATGTAAACATTGTTTGTAAATCCCAGGCCCTGAAGATGAGCTCAATAAAAGATCGAAACGTTGGCACGATAAAGAAAATGTTTTTCTGAAACATACATCACACCAGACCGCATCTCACGATTTCTAAATAAATATCGATTAACGGTCACTAATCACCACACATAAAGCTGCTTTTTAGACTTCAGTTTGTCAAAATTAATAGACTTAAATTTCATAAATCACTTCGTGTCCGGGGGGGATGAAAAAGCTTTGTGTGACCGTTTCTTTGTCGTATTTTCTTTATCGATTTAACCCTTTTGTATACGAATTCCAATGGAGACTAAAATACTAAATAGTTTTCTTTTCTTTTCTGACATTCCAGGTCTAGGCCGGTGAAAGCTCGTCAACCTTCGATTTATTAATTGCTAGAAAAATTCGTCCGAAGGCCGAATTCAACGTTCCACATTCTTTTTCCTATGAATCAGTGGGGCTTATCGGCAAGAAATCTAAAGCATCAGACAAAATATTTACTTTGTTACTTTTACGGGGGCAAGGTTTAAACCGTATACAAGTGATTCGAACAATATAAACAGCCGTATTAAAAATTACGAAAATTCTTCTTAAAATAGTTCTTAAAAAATGAAATATGGAGTTTTGACGTTTCAGATCATCCTAGTCAGAACAGACTAAAAGAGCGAGGCTGGACGGACCAGGATGATCGAAAATGACCAAACGTCTTAAAAATACTCTTCAATGTATAAACTTTCGACTAACTTTCGTGTCTCAACGTTCAATAAACTAAAATTATCAATAATTAATAATTAATAATGGAATAAAATAAAAATTATCAATGTTTTAGGGCGATCCTTAAATGTGACAATTTCGAATTTTGTTTGTGAAAACTAAATTTTAGAAATAGTTTACAAATTCGAGATGTCTGCTTTTAAAAATAGACCCTTGAAAGTTAAGCCTCCCCTTCGCGAACTTTGTTCAAATCTTGATAAAATAATGTAAAATATACAATCTAATAATTATGAGACAAACTAAAAAGAGAAAATCTATTTCTGCACTGGAAAAACTTGGACGATTTCTCTTATCTAAATTTTATAGCCAAGAAAAATAAATACAAGGTGTGGAATTATAAATACTTTAGGGCATATCGAGGTCTAATTTGGCGAAGAAATCAATTTAGACCATAGTAGCATACACTTGGAGGTAAATTCTGCGTTTCGTGGACTTTTTAACAATCTTGTCACATATTTATTAATACATAATAGTAAAAATTTTGGTATAAAATATTCATTCTTATAATTATAATTATATATTAATTAATTATGTAATTATAATTACTGAAGTTAAATTAGCAATAATTTATGTCAAATATGCAATGGATGATGATATTTCTAAACTAAATGTTTTAGAACTAGGTCTCTTAAGAAGATATTTAATATTTAATATTTTTTGTTTAATTTAAATTATTTACTCAATTAATTATACACAATTTTTTCGAAATGAAAAATTTGTGTCACAGGCGGGATTCGAACCGACGGCAAAAAAATTAAATTATTTAATTAAAACTGGTAGTAACATAATTTCTGATTTTCCATTATAAATTTTTGTTTCTAAATATTTTTCCTCAATTTTCTCAATATTGATCTGTCGTATTTTATTTTGCAGTTACAAAATGAGCACCTACTTCAATTATCCACCTATCGCCCTCCAAGAGGAGCTGAAAAAAATCGCTTCCACAATCGTCGCACCTGGAAAGGGTATCCTCGCTGCCGACGAGTCGATCGGTACGATTGGAAAACGTTTCCAAGAGATCGGCCTGGACAATACCGAGGACAACAGGAGACTGTACAGGCAGCTCCTTTTCACTTCAGACATTTCCCTGGCCGACAATATTTCCGGTGTTATACTCTTCCATGAGACCCTATACCAGAAAACGGACGACGGTACCCCCTTTGTTGATATTCTTAAGCAAAGAGGTATCGTCCCTGGCATCAAAGTCGACAAGGGTGTAGTACCTCTCTATGGGTAAGTCAAATTTGTTTTTAATTTCATTTAAAAAGTATAATTAAAATCGTGACTTAATTTTTTCTTTAGTTCGGAGGATGAATGCACAACTCAAGGTCTTGATGACCTTGCTGAAAGGTGCGCCATGTACAAGAAAGATGGTTGTCACTTTGCCAAGTGGAGGTGTGTCTTGAAAATTTCCAAAAACACTCCTTCATACCAAGCGATTATGGAAAACGCGAATGTGCTCGCCCGCTATGCTTCAATATGTCAGGCCAACAGGTAAGACAAGTTTGTCCAAAATTGGACCGATAAAGACTACTAACGCCCTGATTTGACAGGCTCGTCCCGATCGTCGAGCCTGAAGTTCTTCCGGACGGAACGCACGATCTTGAAAGAGCGCAGAAAGTAACGGAAACAGTTTTGGCCGCTGTCTACAAAGCGCTGAACGACCACCATGTTTTCCTTGAGGGAACTCTACTCAAGCCGAACATGGTCACCGCTGGAATGCAGTGCCAAGTAAAATACAGCCCAGACGAAATTGCACTAGCGACCGTCACAGCTTTCCACAGGACTGTAAGTATATTACATATTTATTAACTTACTAGTTATATTAGTAACATATTAGTAGTAAAAAAACTCTAGGTACATTAAAGAAATTTTTTTTAAATTCTTACCTATATTATAAGAGTACTTCCACTTGTGCCATCCAAATTTAATTGCTTTATTTATTATAAATTCTTTATTATATTCTTAAAATTATTATAGAATATTTATAACTTCATTTTAAAATGTTAATAAGGATCATAATTATTATGATTGAAAAGAATAATTTATTTTTGGATGACTAATGGATTGTTAGAAGAGAAAACGTAACTGGAGAAAAAGGATTCTTGTTAGTTGCAATTAACACAGGAAGAATTCAAGTTATCAAGTTGAAAACGAAATGCAAGAAAAGTTGTGTAGCTTCGAGCAATGAACGAAGATAGAAAATGTTGTAACGGAGCTTCAAGAGAAGTAGGCAAAGAGCCTTGTAATGAGAGAGAATTATTTTATAGGTACCGTCAGCCGTCGCAGGAATAACTTTCCTTTCAGGTGGCCAATCCGAGGAGGACGCTTCTGTCAATTTGGACGCCATTAACAAATGTCCAGGAAAGAAGCCGTGGCCGTTGACCTTTTCGTACGGAAGGGCCCTCCAGGCATCCGTCATTCGCACCTGGAAGGGAAAAAGCGAAAACGTACAAGCGGCGCAACAAGAACTCCTCAAGAGAGCCAAGGCTAACGGGCTTGCCAGCCAGGGCAAGTACTCTGCTGGAACTGTTAAAGGATCTGCAGCCAAATCTGATCTTTTTGTCAAAAACCATGCTTATTAAATCATGTTACGCAAGATAAAAAAGTGCCATTAATTGTTTTGAAAAGACTGCAAAAAGATTTTCTGATTAAAAAACTCATTCCTTTGAACTGTGCATTAAATGTTTTCTGAAATTCTTTACAAATGAAATGTTTAGTAAATAAATATATTATTGATGTTATCTATTATTAATAAATTATTACATTTAAATACCTTATTCCCTCACCAATTCAAAATATTTCTGCCATTAATGGTCATCAGGATATCGGGAACTTTCATACATAATTTTACATTGAATACATTAAGTATACAAGTCATCAACAAGTCTTTCTAAATTATTTAAATTAATGATAATTACTAATATGTATTTATTAATATATTTTAATTAATAATTAAAACACACTGTTTAAGATAGTGACATAATTACGATGTTATTGACAGAAATTACCTTCTTTTTTTATAGCAAGTTTGAATATTTTAACTTGAGAGATTTTTTAACATTCATCAATACACAAATCATCATTTACAACATTATACAATATAAAAAAAAGAACCAACAGGCACAAATTAAACTAAAAGAAACAAAAAATCTCACATTTCAACAAAAAATGGTCCCAACTAAACAACAAATCCTACAAGTGAAGATTTCTTAAAGCTGAAGTTAGTTTGACGGACCAAAACGATGAAGATAGGAAGACCAAAATAAATAAATGACCAAACTATAATATTTTAACGTCGAATTTGAATTCAGCTCTGACATTAAAATAATGTTTTTTTAAACAATATCAAAATTTTATAAAGTATTTTTGATAAGGTATTTGTTTTAAAAATGTAAGTGGTTTACTTGTACATTTTAATGAAATATTACTAATGAGGTTATTAATTTTGTTATTGTTGGGTTGTTTCTGATCAATCTAGTCTCGCTGTGTTGGCCTGTTTAAAAAAAAATTCAACTAAGCAAACCATACCTAAGTAACTACCATAAATTTTCAACAGTAAAATGCTTCATTACATACAAAACGTGAAGAAAAAGGAAGAAAATGCATAAATTCGAAATGAAAAAACAGACCAAGACTTTTGACAAACCAGACACAATTTTTTTTTGAGGTTTGGGGGTTGTTTAAGGATTTTAAAAATCCTTTCCTTCACTGCGACCTATCTATTGTGGAACTGTTTTAAATTATAGCCATACCTTGGAAAGTGCACTTTTTCCTATAAGGCTTTTCACTTTCCACGATGCCTCTGCATACCTTTTTTGGCGTGAAAATTAAAAAGGATATCTGTCGACAGCTCCTCCTGACGGTATCACTATGTTTCTGTCTCTGCTTTGCTTATCTTTTTTTTAAATCATTGCTAAGAAGGCAGTGGCCGCTATAGAAGCCAATGAAGATGGCGAAATGTTGACACTTCAGACAGACAAACACTGCAAGTTTTTCCTGAACAGAATGATCAGAAATGACAAAACACCCTGCAGACTTGAAGAATCTGCAGAGAAGAGATCTCACAATTTTTTTAATACATTACTGCTTCGGCATTAAATGGCTAGTTATTTGTTTGTACAGAAAACATTTGCATGTAGAAAACACATGCTGAGGTAAAAATTAGACTAAGGCAACTAAGTCAAAAAGTCTAAAAAACATCATGCCTTTACATCACTGGTGGTTTTAAAATAACACCCAAAGCTGTAACATCTCGTCAAAATATGTGTACCACTAATTATAAATCAAAAAGATGGACTGAGAATCTAAGCATTCATTTGACAGTGGAAAGAAAGCATAAAGCTGCCCATTACACAATTTATTAACCTAACCAGTTAACCTAACAATCTCTGACATACAAGAAAAATTGCTGGATTCTGAAGAATTATTCAACATAATCATTGAAATGGGAAGATAAAGCTAAAGAAGAAAAAAGAATTTAGGTATTATATAATATACAGATGTCTCTAAGGAAAATGGTACAGGAAAGAGCACAAAGAGTGATATGGGCGCCACATGGCCTTGGGATCCATCACAATCATCTTTAAGCTGTTTAATTAACAATTAAAAACTGGCAACGAAATAACCAAACTAAGAATGAACTAAAAAAATACTCGCAGATAGCCAGGCATCTCATAAAGCTCTTAAGTCTACAGGATCAACCCAAAAATAGTCTGGAACGTATAAAATACACTGAGATATTCTAAGTCTAATGCTAAAGTGGTTTCAAGACCATGAGGGAATTGTAGGTAACGAGGCAGCAGGAATTTTAGGTTGTTAGGAAACACAACAAATCAAGCAAAACACTACTTGTAAAATCAACCTAATGTGAGAAAGAGGCAATCCTATTTAACAGAAAGTAACCAAAAACCCTAGAGGTTTATAGGATATGCTACTATGTGTATATGCATTATTTATGTGCTGGCAGCATCAAGTGCTATTGCCAACCCTCTGAGCTTTAAACAGAAAATTCGTCTTTTTTGTGCATCTTTGTCATTGATTCTCTCATATTTTGACTCCTGTTTCTTAGCTTGCTAACCTCTCAAAGGTGCCTCAGTTGTCAAACTGCTATTAAGAGAATAAGAAAAACATAAACACATACAGATTTTCATGCTTCAAGCCAAGTAAAATACCAAATAAAAAAATAGGACTATTAACACATAACCAAGTATCTAGAGGAGAGAGAAATGACAGAAAATGTACTAAGCAACTGTCTTGCGATAGAAAAAGACTGTGGTACCTTGGAAAGCCATTCCTGGGTCATCAAGACAGCAAGAGAGAGAAGAATTTTCTACTTTACTAAAAGATCCTACATTTTCCAGAAACAGGTTAATTTAAAAAAAATTTAGATGATGAGTATAATCATCAATTTATAAAGGATTATTTTAGTAGGTTTCAGTGTTTAAATATTCTGTATTATAGTATATATTTAGATAACATAAATTGTTTGGATTGTTTTAGTGTAAAACTAGCAATTTTTAATGTTGAGTTAAATTAAATGTAAGGAAAAATCTTTTGTATTTGTTTGAACAATTTAGTGTTAAAATGTTATCAAAGTAACATAACAAGGAAATTTATAAATACACTTATTTAAAAAAAAAAAAAAAATTACTCACAGAAATTCTGAATTGTGGCAGTGCTTAATGCAGGAGATTGGTGCACATTTTGATTCCAATGAGATTAGAGGTAATATGTTGCTCATAAAAGAAAATTTTATTTTTACCATCTATAAAATTGTTGTAAACCAATATTAATAATAATAATTGGAGTTAAGGAAGTGTAAATCCTAAAAAGAAGTTATACAAAAAAATACGTTTTTACAGGTGCCTCCAGCAGTTATGGGCATTCTGTTTTTATCCGGAGGACAATCGGAAGAAGAGGCATCTGTGAATTTGGATGCCATTAATAAGTTCGTCGGTAGGAAACCGTGGCCTCTTACATTTTCATACGGTCGGGCCCTTCAAGCTTCATCTCTTCAGACTTGGCAAGGGAAATCTGACAATGTGCAAGCGGCACAGGATGAATTGCTGAAGCGAGCCAAAGCGAACGGAGAGGCCTCCCTCGGCAGATACATCGCAGGAAATTACAAAGGAGTGGCAGACGATGCTGACCTCTTCATTAAAAATCATGCTTATTGAGAATGAAACCTTAACTACACGTTTCAATATTAGCAAATTTTGGTACTACCATTATACTTTTAATTATCACTCATATTGTATAGCATTATTTATACATATTCAAATAAATAAATATATCTAAATATGATTTATTATTGCTTATTGATTATTACATAAGGGTATTTTGGGTTTGTTATATATAAATTAATAAATCGGAGGACTAAAGTAGCCAGTGGTTAAGGTGTGTGGCTTTGCTCTGATAGCAGTTTTGGGTTCAAACCCCATGACTTTTTAATTATGAATATGACAAAAAATATTGTAAAGTGGTTTGAATCTTTGTTCATAACACCTAATATGAAGTTGGACATTAAGCACTCCTTATGGTAGGACTTTTTAACTTATTTATAAATTAAGTTGATGAGAGGATCATTTAAAATATTATTTAATAGGGACAAACTGCACTTGTTATGAACCTTCAACAAAAATGAACAAAAAATAAAATGATGACCTTGTCTTTCGACGATTTATTTTGGATGAGCAATAAATAAAGTTGAGCGAAAACATGGATAGTAATGCAAAAGTGGTGTGATAGTTTAATATTTATATTTAATATTCCGTACTGAATGTAGCAGATATATACAATGAAATACTCGGTGTAAATTGTAATTAATGTTCTGCAGGTGCCACCTCATGTACAAGGGATTTTGTTGCTCTCTGGGCAACAGTCAGAAGAAGAGGCGACGATAAATTTGAATGCAATATGCAAAACCAAAGGGAAAAGACCTTGGCCGATTACTTTCGCTTTTGGCCCCGCTCTTCAGATTTCTGTTCTCCAACTGTGGCAGGGTAAACCGGAAAATGTATTGACAGCACAGGAGGAACTTTTGAACCGGGTGCACGCCAACGAAGAAGCCTTGGCAGGACAATACATACCCAGAATGGAAACGTGGCGCGATAAAACTGGAATATTTGCCATGGATTCGGCGTATTAAAAAATTATATATAATTCTATCTATTATTTTATTGCCTTTTTTTTAGACTTTCAGGCTGCTTTCATTAATCATAACCAGTTAATGTTAAAGCTTACAATTTTGTGTAAACTTATCAATGTTTTGATAAAATTGACTGTGCAGTTTGTTCCGCAATAAGTAAAGAAGACATTTCTAAATTTTTCTCAGTGATCACAGGGGTAAAGCAAGGCTGCCTTTTTAGCCCCACATTTTTCTTTGTACCATCTGCCATCAATCCTTGAAGTAGGAGTTATAGTGAGAAACATAAAAAATAACTCATTACTACATGCAGATCTTCTTATAGCCTACAAGCCAGTTACTCTTCCGTTGAATATAAACATAGTGGAAAAATATCGTGAAAACTGACATCAAACTCTGTACCTAAAAAATTCTAACCTAAAAAAAGTCTAATGATCTTCAGAAAAGCTGGTAGGCTGAAGTCAACCAAGAAGTGGTGTTATAGAGGTTCTTGAATAGGTGTTTTTTTGTTTTTAATATTTTGTTTATTTAACGAGGGTTAACAGCAGAGGTTATATCAACCCTTGAAGTGCCGGTGTTTTTGAAAAAAAGTTATTTGTAAGTATGTCGGGTTCGAATGCAGGGCCACTGGTTTCGAACCCGGGACCTTTACCTTACAGTGATGGGCGCCGTGTCAACGCCTAAACCGTTGCGACCACCAACCACCCTCCCTAATATAGTTAAAACATACAAATATTTGACTGAATGAAAAAGTTTCTAGGACTAAGCTGGGTCTAAACAGAATCTTGTCTGTGTTTATTTAATTTAATTTATTTTATTTTTTTAAACAAAAGGTTAATCTCCTTTGCAATCAAAATATCTGTTTTATAATATTGTGTTGATACGTAATTTGTTATGGAGATCAAAATTGGAACTGTAATTGCTATGAGGTCTTGGAAAAGTTTCAAAGGTATTTCATAAAAAAATTATTTTCTCTCCCTACAAATACCCCTACTTATATGGTTAGTAATGAATCCTCTGTTGAACTAATTTTCTTATGTACATTACTTGCATTTTAAATTTCGTTTGAGGGTGTTATCACTTCCAGGTCATTGATTGGTAAATGCTGTAGCCAGGGTGTAAGGCGTAGGGCTCTGTGTTTTGATCCTGGGGTATCTTGGCTTGGAATTACTTTTGTGAGTTTGATCTTTCCGTAGACAATATGCCTCAGAAGAAAACTCAGATTTTCTTACTTTTACTGAAGATAGGAATCTGTGAGGATGGCAGTTTCTTCTGTATAGAGTCAGATACAGAATTCAGTGTTTTTGGCTGCAGTGTCTCTGGATTGAATCTTTGTCAATTGAGGTGGTTGTTCAAACTGAGAAGAAAATTACTATTTATCAATTATATGCCCTGGTTGGAGAAGGATCTCCTTTTCAGGGAAAGATGTTCTACTCGCAATTTGAACGAGGGGTGATTTTCATAATTTGCTTTGTCATTGTTCTGTGCACATTTGGTTCGCATGGTGGTCTCTTTGGAGTGCATAATAAGGTTCATAACATTGGAAAATGAAGCTGAGAAGAAGAAACGTCAAAATACCCAAATATAATATAAGGAGGGTATTAACTAAAAAATCATCAAACCATCCCTAACTAACACCAGACCGCATCTCACGATTTCTGAATAACCTAACTAAAAATTGCCACAGGAATGGAAAAAGTGGTACAATGGTGATAAGACAGGTCCTTTTTTAAGTTTTTGATTCCCAAACCCCATCAAATTCCTGGGATTTTGCAATGAGGGGAATCAAGGCTTTTTTCTTCGATTATTAGAATTAAGTTGAACCACTGCATATGTGGGGGTTATCTGAATAGAATTCGTTAAAAACCCTTCCAAAATTGTGTAACATGTGATGAACCTGAGACAATGCAACATATTATGTTTGAGTGTCTGGAGTTGCGAGGAAATCTATGTTTGAACGAATCTTCAGTTGATAAGAGCTAAAGCCCTTCAACTTTAATAGTCTTGTAGGTTTTGAAAATGAAATGGCATTTAAAATATTGTTCTAATTTTTAATTGAAAATAAATTGAAGGCCTGTACTTTGATTTTTTATGGCATTTCGACTTATTTTTAAAATCTAAGGATTCATTATCTGAAGTTGAATCTGTGGAAACCTGTTGTGAACCTGATTCTTCATGATCTAATAAGTTAAAGTCAGGACATGTATTCTGTGTATTTGTTAGAAATGTGGATCCTATTATGTAAATCAGAAATGTTCTCAGTCTTTGGTGGAACATTCTCTTTGGTATCAATATTTGCGTCTGTCTTTGTCGGTTTCACCTACTTCTTTATTACCTTTCATACTAAATTCTTGTTTGATATCTAAAATCAATTCTTTCATTATATCACTATCCTGTGTTATCTGCAATTTATTTAATATAACTTCTATCAAATTATCTATAATTTTTTGCATCCATTTTTCTTTTTCTTCTTTTATAATTTTTGTTTGTGACCGAGTATTTATTTGTGTAGAACTTTTTTTATTTTTTCCCATTGTTACTTAATTACTTTATAATCAGAAGTAAATCGTAACACTGACTAATTGAATGGTCAGACGCTCTGCTACCAATTTTGTAGTGTTAGGGTAAATTAAATAAAATAAATTCCACTATAAACCTATTTATTAAACAATTCTTTCTATTATTAAAAAAATAAACAAATACTTTTCTATAATTAAAAAAATAAACAAATACTTTCCTACTTATAAAGTCCAATATATTTTATTATTTTAAAAAATTCAATCTTGATTTATATACAAAATAAAATAATAAAAATATAAACTAATTCTGCTATGGCCAAAACTACGAGCTCATATAATTTTTTGAAAAAAGTATAAATCATACATACGATATAAAAAAAAAAAAAAAATTACACACTTCTTGTTTTCTTGTTTGCGCAGACTCTCACAGGCCACTTCTTTCGTCCTTTCCTCGCTCGAAACCCGACTCTCCCACCATTCCTCATAGAGCATCTTTCTTTTCCAATTGTCTCGCATTGAACGATGGGATATTCTAGCAGTAGGGGATTTGGCGACAATTTGAATGTTCGCCGCCATATACCAAATAATAGCTATTAAGACGTGAGGAGCCTGGGTCGTTCTGGGAGGTGCTCCACATGCATAGGGCAAATAGTCCCTGGGAAGCGGGAAGGTTGTGGACTTTTCCAAGGCTTTTTTTCTACATCCTTCCAATGCTACAGGTATTAGGTGTATACCCGAATGATAAATGGTTAGAGTAGTGCCTTTTAGGGGCGGCCTGGATCGGTCGGTGCAGACCATTGGGGTGGCAAGGGTTCTCACCAACAATATGAGGCAAAATAAAAAAAAAGAAAGAAAAAAAGTTTACTGTGCTGGCTGGCTCTGTAAACCTTTAATTGCTTTTGCAAGAAATGCCTGGGAATACAGGTACAACTTAATAAGGAGGCTTACTTTAATTGGTAAGTTTGTAGCTCATTGTTAAATATATTAGTTATACAGTTATATATTAGTTTTTAAGTTTTATTTTCTTTTGTTTTAAGATTACTTTGTATTACAACAAAGAAATACGTTTTTTAATTTACATTTTTTTGTCAATGTCAATTAAAATCATCTTTAATATTACCATTGTAAAATACATTAAATTATGATATAATCAAAAGAATTCCAAACTCTGACAGAGGGCTATTTGCTATGCTTAAAATTTATTGTAAAAATTGTGAAGTGTTACTTATGTTTAATAATAAATGTATTGACCGGGTTGTCTGAGAGGCTTTTGCGTGTCAAGAGCACGATTTGTAGATGGCCCCCCGACAACCTGAGCCAGAAACAAGGAATCGTCCTTACGCGATTAAGAATAGGCCATACACGGTTGACACATGGGCACCTGCTCTTGGGCCAAAGCCCGCACAGGTGCCCCTTATGCAGAGAAAGGTTGCTCGATGTGTCCCACATACTGGAAACATGTCATGCCTTGGCTACCTATAGGGAGCGTGTAGGCATGCCATCCAATCTGAAAATGGTACTCAAGCAATGCAGCGAGTTTCTTGGTCCTGTTCCACTTTTTTGGGGAAATTGGTTTTTTTTTATTGCATATAATATGTCTTATGTGTATATGTTTTGTCTGAGTGCATGTATTTATTAGCGTGAATGGTGAGGGGTGAGGGTGAAATATAACGTCATCGCCCCGCGAACAGTGAGAGCGTATAAGTGTATGTTTGGGGTCAATGGCGGAATATTTATAAAAGTACTTCATCGACCCCAATCTAGATTAGTCTGAGTACAGGTCAGCGGAGGAATATCAAGTACTTCACCGACCAAACGGAAAAAAAAAAAAAAAGTACTTTTTCTTCAGTTTTTCTATATTTTATTTTATTTTTAGTTATCTGATGGGATTAGCAATTTTTTCTTTAAAATACAAATTTCCTGTAAAAAACAAGAAATTAAGAAATTGCATTAACATCTTGCAGGATAAATAACAAAAATGTAAATGGTTTATATACGAAAGTCATATGTGCAACAGTTTTAACTTTAGCAACAATAACTAAAAAGATGTTTTAAAATGAAGTTTCTTACTTGTGTGCTAATTTTCATTTTATATTAAATTTGACTGAACTGCTCAATAAATGGGAAAATAAACAATAATGCTTTTTCTTCATTGCCACTCTTCACCATATTCAACCTAGGACAATGTAGGATTTATTATATTTCCAAATAACATATGTATTTAATTTTTTGACAGTCAAAATTGTTGGAAATTTCAAAATTTAAGTTTTTATTTTTTACTTTTTGCTCTCAAAATTCCTTCGCAAGATAAAATTTTATTTACAGGTAAGTGAATAAAAGATCCAGTAGGGTGAACAAATTTTGAGTTTATGCACGAGGTTTAAAAAAGCTTTATAGGACTAACTAACGACCATGAACATGGTAGAACAGATTTCAATGAAATTTTTTTTTGTGATGCTAGGTTCAAAAATATTAAACAAGTGTCCAAGCATTTTTCCAATGGGTTTTAAGAATTGAGAAAAAATATTTAAAGTAGTATATATTTTAAAAATGGTTTTCTGCCTTTGTTGTGCATGTATTTCAAGATTATTATCAGTTGAGTTAAAAAAATCTAAGATAAGAAAAATAATATATAGAATCATATTAAATGAGATTATATATATAAGAAGAAAACAAGGCTTTCAGTAAAGTAGGCCAAAAAGATTTTTTTTTTGAGAAAAACAAAAACAAATTCATATTCATTTTAAGTATTCTTTAAAGCCCTTAAAGGCAAATTTTCATAGAATAATAATTTGGTTGGGTTCACCAGTAGCAATTTTTTTCGATTTACATGTGTTTCACTTAAAAATTCATAAAACATCTAGATTTTATCCAAATTCAAGATTATAATCATTTCAAAATTGATTTTCTTTTCTTTAAGCCTGTCAACAAAGTTAAGATTTAATGTCATTTATAAAATTAAGGATGTAGCCAAAAAAACTTTAATATTTTATTTTATATTTCTGATTCTGATTATTTTACGCAGATTTTTTCTTCACTGATATGTCCAATGTAAAAAATCATATCACCTCTAGATTTTTTTCCAAATTCAACGTTCAAGTTAACAATAATTTCAAAGTTGATTTTCTCTTCTTTCGCCCATGTCAACAAAATTAAGTTTTGTCGTCATAAGTGAGAAAAATAAGGATGGAATCGTTCACTCAAACATTTTATTGTTTAACCATGGTATGAATTAATGAATTTATAAAGGCCAATTTTGTGGCATTATGTGGTTTATAGTGTTCTGTAAACTTTCTTGTACATCGGTTGAGTAGTTTTAAAATTACAACCGTTAACATGTATTTTAAATGAAAATCTCAGCCGCTCATAGATGAAAAAATTGAGAATTTTTTCATTTTCTCAATAATGTTTTTTTTGGGAGCAGAATAACAATATAAACTTTTTTTAAAGGTGTGTGTGGTATTTAGTGACTTAATTAATGATTATTTGGAGATCGTAAGATTCGGTCTGGTGTTTTTGTAAAATTTTTTTGGGGGTTGATGCAAAAGAATTCTTTCCTTCACTGCTAAACAGGTCATTTGTAGAACCCCTTTAGCTTATAGTCTTACCTTGGAAAGTGTGCTATTCCTTATAAAACTGAGTAGGCTTGGATCACTTCAAGTATCCCAGATTTGGGTACGTGTGGACTTGGCAGTGGCATGTACACCACACAGATGATCTATGCAATAACAATTAAGGATAGATGCGTTAATTTTTGGTGTAATGGGGAATGCTTGGGGGTTTGCGTTGTCTGGGCTCGCCTCCTTGTCCACCCCTAATCTGCTCAGCAACCCTTCCATAAAGTTTGAGGTTATTAAGGCGAAACATAACCCAAAGAGGACGTTAGTCTTTTTTATTATTAAAAACCTACAAACTTATTGTTATTTACTACTAGGGCAGTTTGATTTTCTTCCTGACAAAAAATGCACAGTTATTCCTGTCACAATTGCTTCTTAAAGTTAATTTTTATTCTTTATCACAGAGATTGCTCAAAATGGTTTCTTCTCGTGGTTTATTATTCACATTTTAAAAAGTTTTTGTATGTGAATGAATTTTATTTTGTTTCAACAAAGCCTAAATATATTTGACTATGTGTTTTTAAAAGTTTTTTAAATTTTATTAAGTTTGTGAGTTAGCCAAATGAACTCAAAATTTTTCTAGATAACTAAAATTTTGAAACTTTTGTAATTCAGATATCCAGCTTTGACCTTTTCTTGATGGCTAGATTTTTGTGTAAAGCAATTTCAGTTTGAATTGCTGAATTCGTATGGTCGTAGATGATTCGTGAAACGTATGGTTGGTAGATAGTCAGCATAAAACGTGAAAAATATTCGTCCTGCTGATCATAAACTTCATAAACTATAAAATTTATAACAGAAACAGTAAAATATTGGTATGAAAAGGGCATGGTATTAAAAGAAGTAAGTATACAGGCACTTAGCGTTTATTTTAAATAATTATCAAAAGTGATTATTTCTTTACACATTTTTTGGCAACCATCACAGCTTCCTTGTGGTGCACTTCTTTCTGGGAGAAGTCTGGTTTATTTCCTTTTTTGATGACTTCAACCCAACGGTCTGCAGTAGGTTTGTCAGGGCAGAAAAAGTTAACTTCTTTTTCTACGTAGTTGGAGGTATTGTAACCGGGTTTGCATTCAGTAACTTTTTCCATGCTGAAGCAAGTTTTGCCGCTGCGTTCGATTATTTTGATCATACGATGAGTGGATGTTTGTTCGACGTTCTTAACTGAGGTTTTTTGCTGTTGGAGTTTGCGACCGGCTTCTTTTTCGCTGATGACGTTTCCAAGCGAGATAACTTTTTTGTAAGCTTTCTCTTTCATGGCGCGTTGGAAGAGAGTCTTGGCTGGTCCTTGGCATGTTTCGTCAGCGAGAGCGTAGCTGGCGGCGAAAAGGTAGGGGTCTTTCAGAATGCGATTTTTGGGGCAAGTGAAGTCATCAAAGTCTTCGCCGTTGAACGTTCCGCAAAGTCCACGGAGTTGTCCACGGAATGCGTTGGAAACTTGCAATTTGACGCGAGCTCCGTCGTATACGACTTCGACTCCGACGAGAGGAGAGTACATCCTGACGGCACCAGTTGGCAGAGCGTAAACTTGGAAGAAAGTGTAGCCGAAGTTGTCTTCAAATTTAGCTACTTTGGTTTGGGTGAATTCGGCTGTCTTTCCGTTGACCTTAACTACTCCGACTTTGTCAGAGCTGGAAGTAGGTTTAACTTCGACGACATTTTCTCCAAAAACGAGAACGAGTTCCTGCCGATCAAAATTTATATGAAAATGCTAATTCAAACAGTTATTTATAAATTTCATGCGAAAAATACCTTTTTGTCAGATTCGTGTTCGCGAGCAAGAGCAGCAAAGTATTTGTCTTCTTTGTCGTGGGCAGACACTCCTAGAGAGTGAGCCAATACGTGCCAGCAATCGCCGAGTTTTACGGGGAATGATTTGTTGTCGAAGGTGGTTGCCAAGTTCTTGTCAACGACGCAAGTTGCTGAAAATAAGAGAAGATCCGAGTTGTTCAATTACAACTTTTACAAAAAGGAATACCGTATGAATCGCGTTACTTACGGAATTGTTGAGCACGGAAGTAGGTTTGGCCGAGGCGGTCAGCGGTGTTGTATTCAGGGTGGAAAACAACAACTGGTCTTACCCAACGGTTAACAGGGAGATGACGGAATTGGGCGGTGAAGAGTGGAGAATGGATGGAGACATTAGCAGCTTTAAGATCTCTTTCGAAGTTGACGTGGAATTCGACTTCGTTTTCTTTGTTGTTAGGGGTAATAAAATCTTCAATAACATGAGGATAAGCGAAGGAACGGGCGAGATCGTAGGCTTTGTAGGTGAAGTTCTTAAATACTTGTGGCACCTGATCGTAGTGGAAGGTGAATTTATATTGGTCGAAGAAGTTAGCAGAGGCGGTAGCATTGCGGCAAGCCGGTTGGATGTAATTTCCTTCGCGCATTTCACTTTCGCAAAGTTTGGAAACGGGGTGCTCACGAACAAAGTCGCGGCGTTCGTTGGTCTGAGAAAGTTTTCCTTGGAATGAAACTTTTGCACCTGAAGATGCCTTTTCTCCGAAAGAAAATTCACCGTTGATTTGTGAAATAGGCTGGGTTTCGATAGCTTTTTTGTAGTTGACAAGTGGGACATTGGGTGTAGTTGCAGTGAGTTCAAGTGCAGCCTAGAAAGTAATCGTTCATTTTAGGTCATTAATGTGAATTTATGTGTACATAGGAGAAAAGTAACTAAATTACCTCGTATGGTTTGGTGGTGTAGGTTTGTTTGGCTGGAGTCTTGCTCACGAAGAAGAGGAATCGTGATTTGTCAGAAACAGGGCTGCTAGCATAAGAAGCTGTGGCAACATACTTAGCCTTGGATTGACCCTCGAATTGGACTGACATATCGACCATATGTGCGGTGTAGTCTGTAATGTATAAAATTAGTTATTTTTGTGTTCGTCAACTTCTGAAAAATAAGCCAACCTTGGATTCCAGCTGCGGCGTTCTGAAGGAACTGCGCTTGACGTTCAAGGCTGTCGGGTTTCGAGTCTGATTGGGCAGCGCTGTTCCTAACGTTGGCGGCCCTGTGTTTGTTGTGGCTTGAGTGTACGCCCTTTTCAGCGGAGTGTCCAGTTTTGCCGTAAACAAAGGTGAAGTTTGCGTATTGAGCGGTAGAGCGTTGTGGGTTGTAGACAACGGTGAAGTTGTTGTTGTTGATAGATTGTTCGAAGTGTCCATAAACAAGAGCCGAGAGTGGGTCATGACGTTTGAGTGCATTGTACACTGTGGCAAAATCGTAAAACTTCTGCTCAGTTTCGGCTTTGACGTCGAAAGCGAATCCGGTACTCTCTTGTCCAATTGTAGTTTCCCGCTAGAATCATGAAACAAAAATAAAGATGAAATAAATAATCAAATAAGTATAAAACATTGATGATTTAAGACGTACCCTTTGAACGGGTCTGACGTGAATATGTTCGGCGTGAGGGCAATCGACAACTGGGGTGAAGGTGAGGATGTCGTGTTTGGCAGTGTAGGCGACAGTACTGTATTCGAAAAGCTTGTGCTTGTGGTTTTGTTCAAACGACTCAAGTTTGGACCAAACTTTGTTGTGTTCGATATCAACGTCGACACTGGCACGGATGGGAAGATGTAGGTGGATGTTCTTTTGAAGACCGGCGATGTAACGTTGGTTGTTGAAAGGTGTGACGAATCCCATCTTTCCTTGTGTCTTGACGACATAGCTAAAAGAAGAATAACTTTTATGCAATTGCTATC